GAGAGCCTACCAGGAAGGCAGGTAATTCTACGTGTGTTACAGAATTGAGGTCTTTCTATTACTCTCAAATGGTCAAAATACATCCTTTACTGTGCAGTATAACACAGCATAAAACAAAAGCATTTCCTTATTTTCCCCTTCATTGCTTATTCTCTTCTTCATCTTAAAATAAACAGAAATAAATATCTGATTAAGCTTTTTTACATCTAACCACTCTCAGATAATTACCTTTAACATGTAATTTTTAAAAAATCACTTAAGACTCAAGCAGTTCATTCCTAATAGTTAACTGTAAATTAAACAGCTGATTCCATTTTTTTTTAAACAAAACAAAACAAAAGAACTAAATTTTAAACCCAAACTCAGTGTTTCTAGGCAGGGACACCACATATAACTTCAGTTTGCTACTTTCAAGATCAATATTGGGATCAGAGAGTTCCCATTCTATGATACAATTGGAAGATAAAGACGAATTACTCTCTCCAGAGTTTTAAACATGAATGGGTCAAGTTGCACAGTGAACTGTCTAATTAATGACTGTTGCGTTTAGTGTGCCTGAGACCTCATAAATATATACCCTCCCCACATTGGATATACGTTCCTCTCTCACGCCAAAAACAAAAAACAAACAAACAAAAAAACTTACACCAAAATTACCTTATTATGTGTTCCCATTTCATTTCCAGGAGTATGTAGCAAGAATGGACTTTTAAATTTTATAATAATGTTTTTATTTTTTTTAAGGTTGTCTTTCTTCATGTTTACTTGATAATCTGGAAAACCTATATTCCAGGAAATATTATGATTTTCTGCCTAAATGTTAAATGTCTAAATAGCCAGAGATCACTTTCAAATACTAAGTAGTGGGATGATAAGTGACTGTACTCTGCTAGCACATGTTTAAATGGTCAGAAATATATAATTAATAATCCTTTACTTTGGGGTTTTATGTGAGCATTGCGTGAGTAATCTGAACTGAACTACTCTTCTGGAATAAGCATACAATGTTGCATTGTTTTCTTTTCCCATGTTTCTGTGTATATGTTACTGTTTCAGTTTCATTTGTCAGCAAAAGTCTGTTTATTAGACTTCCTGTTATTAATTATGGGAAACAGGTTTTCTTGAAATATACAAGATTCTTAACTCTTGTCGACATTTCAAGGCAAGATATTGATGAGTCCGTCAACGTTTGTACAAATCTGGAACCTGAATTTAAATACATTGTTGCTTCACATAACTTACAACTTCTTAGCTCCCATAGGAAAAAACAAGACAAATAATAAGAAACGAATCACACAAATCACAAATCTTCTATCTTTGTTACTAGAAACTGAGATAACAACATTGGTTACTTTCTTTATTTGTCACAAGAATTAATGAACAGATCACAATGTGAATTCTGAAATCTAGTGGCCCACAAAAATAAGTTGCATAGATCGACTCAAATTGTAAAGTGCTGAAAGACAATGAGACGTATTCTAATGTAAATACTCATAAAAAGACAAAAATACTGACCTGATTATTGGTGTATTACAAAGCTTTTCATATAGAAACATCTGGTCAGTCCCTCTAGCACTGTCTCTCTCTCTGTCTTTGAAATGGTAACAAATATACTTGCATGTATTAAAATCATAAAGGAACCAAAACATCTGGAAGTTTTAGAAGAAAAGCAAAATAGTTATGGGGGAAATTCAGATTAAAAAATGCAGATGTTTAATTGGGCTGTCAATTTTGTTACGAGGAAATAAGAGCAGAAATAACCAGAAGCCACTGGTGGAAAATTAAAATAGTTTCATGAGCCCTTGCCAAGCTAAAAGCAATGAAATCAGTAACACAATATGGACAGGGGCTTTCTAAACTGAGATCTGAAAATGTTACTATGTGCAATTTTGTAAATTAGCCATTTCCAAAACATTTTTTTCATTAAAGCACAATAAAAGTTTTTCAGACTCTCCCTTCTCTCTTTGGTTATTAACATTGGACAGTTATTCGGGGTTTGCTTTCATCAATGACAAGCTCTTCCCCACACCCTCCTCACCCCCTTTCTAAGACCTTCTAATACTGCTGAGTGGCCAGAAATTACAGATGCAAGAAAAGCTGACAAATGACTGCCAGGCCCCTCCCCCAGTGCCTAGACAGTCAAAGCCCCTGCCAGAACATGCCTGAAAGCAGCGCTCCTACAGACAAAGACACAAAGATTCCATTTTCTCAGTGAAAATAGATTTCATGTGTAAAACACTAGTGAGAAAAATTGAAAGCTGACACATATGTGCAATTTCAGAGAGGCAGGGCTGAATAATTCAAGATTGAAATTGCATTTGATTGCATCAAAGCCTAACAAATGTTGTTTAACCTAAAAGTCTTTTCAGTCTGTAAAAAGACATTCAGTGGCAAGATATTTTATTTTTTTAAGCACACAGCTAAAAGGAAAAGGAATCTTGAGCCCAGTCAAGAGATGTTGATTATGTACTACTGATGGATTAAGAATTAGCACTGCCTCACATCATAGGGTCTACAAAATAAGGGGGAGAAGTTTTTTTTTTTAATTTAAATAAACCATTGAATCAAAGGGTTCTGAAAGATAATATTAAATCCTTATGAGTATGTTTCCTATAAAAAGAATCCCCTCCCAGGAGCCCCAGGGTATCATTACTGGAGAGGCAGCGAGTGGTTTATTAGAGATTCAAACGTTGGCATCTGAGCCTTGCCAAGCATGCAAGTTTTAGCTTGTGTGCCCAGGGCCTTGGCTTCTGCAGTCCCTTCTTCTGGCATCTAACAGTGCAGGCCGTATGGTCGGCCTCCACACCACACCAGGCAGTGTGTAGGTACAAAGGCTAGGACTCAGAGACAAAGAAAGTTTGTCATTTACTAAGGAAGGTTACGCTTTTCTTCTGCCTGCTTACATAGTCACCCAAATTCATTCCATATCATTCTGCTCTCAACAGATAGGCTCAATACTTACAGAAAACTTGGCTTAATATGTTTTAGAAAGTATTAGACTCTTAACAGGTGAAAGTGTAATTAATAGTAGCTGTCAGGAGTAGTAGACCAAGAAATTGCACTGGGGATGTTTTAATTAAAAAAGAAAGTTTTACGACAATTTTTTTAAACATTGAAAACACACGTGGTTCTCTCTCATCCCTTTCCAAGCTCCTGAATTTCTTAAATTTCTTTGGTCAGTAAGAGGATCAGACAGAGAAAAGAGACTAAGAAATTCCTTTATAATCTAATGAGAGATCATTGAAAGGAAATTGAAAGGAAAGAGAATATTAGGTACACCCTGTGTCTGTTAAATGTTTTATACAAACCCTTTAAATCTCAAGGCAATATTCATGTCAGGATACATTTTCACTATCATTTCGAATCTAAGTAGAATACTGTAGAGTATTTAAACAAGGTATTTAAAACATTCATTAATAAAATCAATATTTCATATGAGATATTAAATAATGTAAGCGAGTATTCATCTATTTGTTTATCAAATGGGAGCACTGGTTTGGAAAGTTGGACTTTTTAGCCCTCTTCAACTGCTCTGTAATCTTAGTGAGTTTTCAAGCCTTAGTTTCTCTATCTACAATATGAAGAATTTTTCCCACTGAAGAAAATTGGGGCTAAATCTACAAAGCCAGCACTGACTACAAAATGCTAATATGTGGAGTTGGAGTGTGCAAAACTTTTGCTGTCATTTAAAACCTTTAAGCTTCAGTTCAGTGTATTAATTAGTACGGGAAGTCCCTGGTTAATTCGGTAAAATAAATCAGTCCAAAGCTATGTAATCATAGCTGACTATACCAGAGACCAGTTGATTAGTGTATTTGTTCACTTTTCAGGATGTTTCACATGCCATAAAATCAAATCTGATACTCCTTGACTTTCAATTCCTTAAAGTATATCTACTTTATTTATATTTAATTTATATGATTGTCTGATATTAACTCACCCTTCCTTTGTTAGCCATTTCACTAAACACAGAATAGCTGAGTGAGCCAGTGTGAACCAGAGTGACCCAGAAATCCAGCCAGAAAATTCGGGCAAGATTATGCCCCTTCCCACACTGCCAAGCCCACTGCCTTGGCCTTGGAAGGCAAGAATAGCAGTGGATGACATGTGAGGCTGTTCAACACACTCTCATGCAGTTTTAGCCAACAGGGTCACTCACACCTCTTTAGCTGTGCTTCCTCAGCAGTCCCTAGAGCTTTCAACATAGAATATCATGGGAAGAAAACATATTTTAGTATAGAAAATGTTCAAGAAAATATTGATAGTTCTTTGAAATGTAAGTAATAGAAATACATTCTTAAATAGAGAATATGTAATGACTAACCTAAGGAGGTCATCAAACTCATAAATTCTAAGCAGTCTCTTACAGTATTTTTTTAAACAAAATATCAGGATTCTATACTTCCATATGGAAGAGAAAATAAACACATTTGTTTGTCTTTGTTTAGCCCAATTGAAGGGGAAATATCACACTGCTTAATTACTTTTAATATTTTCTTATTTGAAAAGTTACTAAGATACTAGAAAAAGGATATTAAAATAAAGTTGTATTATTATTATTAGGTAGAAAAATTAGTCTCTTTAGAGATATTGGATGATTAAAAAACAAATATATTTATATAAGATGTTTGAGAATAAAATCTAGGATTTTATTAATAATTATGCTAATATTTAATGTAATGTTTTAAATGTTTTTACTCATGGGAAATGCATTGAGAGAAAAAGTAGACCTTATATTCAATGAGACAGAAATATCCAAAACTAGTTTATCTTCTCACTAATCTCTGGTTATTTGACAAAGCTTATTTATAGAGAGAAAAAATGAAAAGCAATGTTTTCTGTGACCAAATTAGTAGCCCTAAAAAGGAGAAAATTTATAATGTGAAAAGTTGGCAGATCCCTATGGATTGTTGAACTGGAAAACATCCCCATAAAAGGATAAAATTAAATTTCAGCTAATTTGCTCAGCATGGCCTTTCTTTTTGTTTTGTTTTGTACAGAGATCCTGGCAAAATTACCCACAATCAATGATGGAAACTGAAGGCAGATTGATTTACATCTTCAGTGACAGTTGTACAGAAGTTGAAGAAACATGTCATGTTTCCAAAGAAGAGTGAGGAGCTTGGTTGGTCATACCCTAAAATTAGGGCATGATTAAGGTACGTCATTTCTTTTAGTTCAGTCAAAGTGCTTTGCTCTTTCCATTGCAGAGAATTTCTTCTTCTTTTTTTCAATCTTTCTCTCTTCCTCTTCTTCCTCTCATTAGTAGATGTCTTTTATAATTGATGTCATTTACTATCCTTTCATCAAATGTATGCCACATCACTTAGGCGAACCAGCAGACAGGGCACCAAAACACACATTAGAGGGGACTGGCTTCCATGAGACGCTTCGACTGTCTCATCAGGGCACTTGTAATAAGCATCTTGGTGCCACTGAATGCAATGCTGTATTTAAATAATAGCTTTCATCTTCACTCTTTTTAAATATAAAAGTAAACCTTGAAGCCCTTTGAAGGACCTCACTAAACAACATATGTATGAAAATAGATCAGTAAGGCTTTGAGAAGCGTTCTGAAGTAAAATCTGTAAAGCATCTTAGCATTTTTTTCAAAAAAGACCTCCAGGTAAATGATGGCTTTTAATAAGACACATGACAATCTCAATTACAAGAATCATTAGTGTGTGTCCTGTGTGCCATTTTATGTTCCCAGCAGGATATATCTTTTCTCATCAAGGGTTTCCAGGGCTGTCTACTGTTCTCTGTTGTGTAAAATGTATTGAAGTGTTCCCCCAATGCTGAACTAATGTTACAAACGAAGCAAAACAAAACAAAAACTGGGAAAACCTTCGTCAAGTGGTCAGACAGACTGGAACTAGAGGATTATAGGTAAGAGGGATAAAATGAAGGGTTGAAAGCTATAATTTCTATTTTTGTGGTGGCAACCACATCAGCTATTAGAATCAGGCAATTTAAAGATGTGGCTACTAGAGCTCAGAGTCTGGGAGGAAGACACCTCTGCATCTGACAGTGAGTCAGGCCCCCAGTTTTGAAGATGAGCTGTAGGTGATTCCTTGCTGGATCCATTTCCCAGTTAGTTTCTATTCCTCACTCCGTTCCTGTGTCCCCACACTTTCCACTTGATTTGATCTCTTTCTTTGACAATTCCATATTTTACTTTCCTTCTCATTCCTCTTTCCCCACCCTTTTGTTTTAACTGTAGTTTCTTGGCCTCTGGCTACTGTTTCATGCTGGATGTTCCCAGGAATCAGATTATGTTTAGAAAGGAGGTCCCAGAAGGGCCTCCCAATCCACTAGTTAATTTTTGAACATGTTGTGTCCTATGGGTGTCAGGAACATTTGTAGATGAAGTAATTTGAGGCATGAGTTTTGATAGAAGCAGGGACACCAATAAAATGACAAATTTACATACCTGTCTAATTTGTGTGATATTCACTGGGATCTTGAGAACTCAATTTATAATTTGTCTTTATTTTTATTTTTCACTAGAATTAACAGAATCCCAGAGCTTGTAGAAAATATAGAAACTGTATAAAACAACCCTCATATTCAGATGAAGAAAGTGAAGCACAAAAAGTAATCTGTCCTAAGCCATTCTGCTTGTCTATAAGTGCTATTGGCTTAATTATAGTTTTCCATACATTTGGACAAGAAAATACTTTCTCAGAAACTGGTTAGGACTGTTTGAGAAGAAATATAATCATCAAAACATATACACGGTAAAATATAACCATCCATCATTTAACATAGGCAAGAATATGTATAGAGTTGCCTAGGTGTGTTATTCACATAGCAAAACTTACTTTGATGGCAAATAAATCTTCTGACTTCTGCATATGTATAACATATATAAACCAGCCAGATTCTGTACATAAATAAATATTATTTTTGGATACCAGTACAATCCCTACTTCACTTTTTTTTTGCATTCCAGTTATTTATTACTTACAGTTCTATAGTTTTAACCAGAACAAAGGGATTACCCAGAAGAAAGAAGGTAAGCTATCTCATCAGTTTTGCTGGAGATCAGAAGGTTTTGTTTCTATTATTAGCTTTGTATTCTTTAAGAAAAAATGAAGGGAAAAAAAAATCTCATCTTCTCCTTTAAAAGGATTCCCATAAAAATTGGCAGTGGTAAGGTGGGGAGGAAAAGCATTGCCAATAACCAGCTAGATCCTATTATTGGAGGCAATCAGCTTTATTCTACAGAAATATAGTTGTTCTTGAATATTTAATAGACATAATATTTTTAAAACCAACATATTACATATACCAGTAAATATTTTTGTTAAACAAGGCTTTTAAACTTTAAATTATACCCCTAAACTGGCTTTCTAGTTTTCTAAAGAAATAAAGTAATTTTAAAGAAAATATCCGCTCAGATTAATATGTCGAATACCATACAAAAATGTGTGTGGTGATGTTACTGAAAATGAGGATTTTTGAAAACGAAAAAAGCAAAAAGCCATTGCTCCCAAAGCCTTCAAGAGTGACGTAAGGTTAGCAATGCAAGTCTTAGATGTATTTAGGAAATATAATTTTATTAGCTTTCTAATTATAAGCGTATTTTGATTCAAATGTTTAAAATATGGTCATCTCTTCAGGTAAAGATGAACATTTTGATGAAATAACAATACTTGAGGTGTTCTCTATTTCCACAATTAAGAGCCAAGGGTTATTTATTCAAATCATATGTTTCAGTCTCAAAATGATAAGGACACATTTCAACGAAATAAAAATAATCTTTTTTTTTAAAAAAAAAAGAAACCAGAATCATGTGGTAGTTGGCAGGCTTAATTTGTATTTTATGGACTCCAAATTCAGATGAATGTCATCAAGATCTGAATTGTCTCCATGGCTGTCATAATTTAAATATTAATATCGAAAATATACACTGTTATCATATAATTAATTATGATATAGAGAAAATTGAATTCTCTTAGCCAAAAAACATACAGGGAAATCATCACAATGAGGATGAACATAAATATTTTTTTTTGGTACTTCTACAGACTTCTCTGTAACAGTCGATCTGAAGATATCATCAGAGTTTGCAGGTGTAAAGGTATCTATAATCAAATATAGCTGAAATAATGAGGCTTCACACCAACTGCCTTTCCTAGAATCGTCACAGACAGGAAGTGCAGCTGGTGGAATCACCTGCTTATATTCCGCAAATAGCACTGAAGGATATAACTCAATGAAACTTGAAATCAGGTTGCACAAAAATACATTATTTCCAATTTCTCTTTTTATATTGATAGATAAATTATAAATTCACAGCAACATTTGTCTATTGTTAACTTTATTTCACAAAATCATACTAAAGTTTGAGTGACATCTTTAGCCAGGGAACCCTAGAAACATCCTTTGGCTAAAAAGTAAAAAGTGCAGTAGAGAAAACATTTGTGCAGTAGAGAAAACATTTACAGAGCTAATGTAAGAGTTTTTGAAAGACACAATAAAAGGTATGTTTTGATCAAAAGCTTATATTGTTTAGAAATTGGACTGTGCTTTAGTATTTTATCAACTAATTTTCAATCACAAAGAAAATTTAGAAAGAGATGAAATAGAAATAAAAGTCTTATTAGTAAGAGTAATTATATAGATAGTAGAATGACTACTTTTTATAAGCAGTAATTTCATAATGTAATGACTTCCTTTTCAGAAAAAAGAAAGTGATTAACAAAGCTAAACATTTACACAGGGCAATGTACCACATAACTCAAAATGCCAGTGCAAAAAGTGTTAGTTAACAAATGGAGACTCAATGCTTGTCTGTAATAATTAGTCATAGTTTCTGCACTTAGAAGGAAAGCTCTCCCCAGGAGTTGAGAATTAGAGTGGAGGTGGAGATTCTGAGTATGAGAAAAGCGAATTTCATTCATCTTGCAGGGTTATACTCCTATGATGGAAGGCTCTCAATTTTCAAGCAAGAAACATGGAAATTATAGTAACTATGGTCAATTTATATTGGCCCAGAGAACACTTTATTTTTCTCTGTGCCGGAATTTCTCAACAGGTGCCACTATTGATACTTTGGACCAGATTAATTCTTTGTCCTTGGGAGATCTGCTGTGCACTGGAGGATTTTTACCCATATTATTGACTGCTTTCCACTAGATGCCAATAGTACTCCCTCCCACTATGGTGATACCCATGTATTGCTGAATGTTCTCTAGAGAACAAAATCTGCTTACACTACTTGTCTAGGCATTTTTGTTTCTTCATTTATCTTTATGCAAAATGAGTTTTATTGGTCCTTTGCAGTAACATTAATAGGAATTTTGCATAGAGAAAATTTATGTATTAAAAATAGCTCTATACTGCAAACGTTTCTGCAGGACATAAGAATCTCACTGGTGCCTTCATCTCTTGAAATATTTGCTATAAACACGTGTTGAATGTTGAGAGATACTGAATGTGGGCTCATATTTTGTGCTTTATTTGAAAATTTGCAATGTAAATAAAGTAAATCGATGTAAAATGCATGCCTTTGGGCATGAAAATGTTTTTTTGTGTATTATAGTTAAATATGGTAATATGTCTTTAGAGGTAACTCTCTGTGGCAGTGAACAAAACAAGACCCTACTATAATGATTCTTCATGCAGCTGATTTTAACAGAAGAGTAGCCTTCACTGTGCTTTTCTATAAATGTTGGCTTTATCCATGTATTAAAGCACAGGTTTCTTGGGAGAACACCCTAAATATTGAGAGTGAAAGATAAAATCTGAAGAGAATTTGGAAATCATCACTAAATTGAGCTGACAAACGTGCTAATCATGTCTAAAATATGGACTGTCAACATTTTTCTAACTAATGATGAGATGGTAGAGAAGCCATTAACTTAATACGCCTCTGTGTGTGTGTGTGTGTGTGTGTGTGTGTCTTTTGGTGGAAATAAATTGATAAGAAAGGAAACAATAGTAGTCACTTGGAAGCCTAGGAGGCAAGTCAATAAAAGAGAAATATCCAGGTAGTATGAAACGTTAAGCTTTACACAATAGAAATAAAAATAGTATATGGAATTGATCTATTATTGTTTTAAAAATGGTAAAAGTTGTTAAACCAGTAACTTTTAGAGTAGTTTGTAATAAAAAGCTACATGAACAATTAAAGATTTATTAACTGTTGGAAGTTTCCCTTCAGTATAAATTTATAAATATCTAAAGTGTGGGTGTTTGTATATTTGACTTCCTCATTGAGCATCTGGAATGACTGAGCTGATTTGCCCTTTATTCTTTAGGACACAGATTTTTTTTCCCAAAATTTCTGAGGATCACTTATTTTCTTTTTATTTATTTATTTATTTAGGGACTGAGTCTCACTCTGTTGCCCAGGCTGGAGTGCAGTGCTGTGATCACAGCTCATTGCAGCCTCAACCTCCCCAACTCAGATGATCCTCCTACCTCAATCTCCAGAGTAGGCGGAACCACAGATGTGTGCCACCACATCCAGCTATTTTTTAAAAAATTATCTGCGGAAATGCAATCTCCCTGTACTGTTCAGGCTGGTCTTGATATCCTGAACTCAAGTGATCCTCCTAGTTTGGCCTCCAAAAGTGTTGGCATTACAGGCACAAGTCACTGCACCCTGCCAGGTCACCTACTTTAAAAACCTCTACTAGATGACGTGGAGGAACTGAAATTTAAATATTCAGTATTTTTTATTATATGTTTAAAATTTGAGATTTTAGTAAGCATCTAGTTCCAGGAAGGATAAAATATGTTTTTGGGTTTTCTTTATTTATTTTTTGGTAGACCCAGTATTGTTCACTAAGGATAGATGTGGGATCAGTTCCTTTCAGGTATTAATTGTAATGTTGCTGAACATATTACCATGAATCTGCAGTATGAAAATTCAGATATTAAACTTAGGAGGCTTTATAGTCCAAGTTGTAGTAACTCAATAATAAAATGGTGGCATGTTTATGGTTCAATTTTTTCCTTTGTGAAGAGCTTAGGGCAACAATTCTTTATTTCTGTATGTTGCACTTTTAAATTACAGTGAAGTCTTTCCCTGATAACAAATAACATTACCTGCCATGAAGAGGAAAAGTGGATATGAGAACTTATCATTGCCAGCATATTTGAAATGTGACAAAGCATTTTTATCATGAATATGTTCAAATAGAAAAGAAATCACAATTTCCTTTAACCAAGTGCTGGGTCACTATTGCTTTCAACTTAGTTACTGAACAAACACTTAGCTACTATAAATTTGCTAGGTCAAAATTTCTCAAACTTTAGCTGTGACAGAATTACTTGGAGGGTTTTTTGAAATGCATATTGCTGGGCTTCATGTTCAGAGTTTCAGAAGAACCTGTGTTCCTAACAGGTTCTCAGGTGATCCAGTGCTATAGTCATTGTTCTAGAGACATGCTTAATTTTAGGTACATCTTATTTGACTTGAGAACTTTCTCTTTATTAAGATAGCAAAGGCGGCATAGATAAAAAAATAAACAAATTAATCAGGATTTTCTTTTTTACAATAGACGAAATCAGCATTACCACAGGAAAGAATGAGAGTGGTTGGTTTTAATGAGAGATTCTTTACATGCCATTGAAAGACAGGAAACCTTAACAGAAAAACAAAACTGATAACCAGCTCCTAAACAGGAATTTGAATTAGCTGAAAACTTTTTTCCAAATGCCTACGACAAAGTCAGAGTTCATTGTCCTAGACTAGCAAATTCTTGTTACCAATATTTTGTTCATATTTTCTTATAATTATTCTCATTTCACCTGCCAGGGAAGAATTAATCAATTTACCCTCTTGGTCTTCAACCCTCCCTAAAGTACTCAATAGCTCTTGCCCTTGCATATGTTATCACCTCAGTGTATTTTTCCCACTAATTCAATAATTTTATTCAAACATTGACAGGATTCTATTAAATTTAAGATATATATTAATTAAACTAGAGGAAATCTACTATAGTGAACAAATTATCCGTGATTTTAAAAAAAATTTCAAAGGTAGACAGGCCACCTGCAGCTATAAAGGCTGTGCACCTTCAGGAAGAACCCTTAAGAGTTGATGATAGAGGTGGTACCCTCTGAATTGTACAATCCAGTGTCCCTTAGCCAGATATAATAGGCCAGGTTTAGCCTGACAGGCATGAAGTTGTAGTTTCAATTCCAAAATTCTACAGAATGTGAGAGACATGAAGTACGAACTGCACATGGGGCTTTACTTGACCATTAGTTGCTCAGTGTGATTCAACAGTGATAGGCAAGTGTTCTCCAAAACTATGAAAAGCTTACTGTTTTAGTGGAGGAGAGTGTATCTGGTATGTGTGAGATGAGAAGTCCCTCTCTTCATGGCTGGTAGAATGGATCCAGAACTGTTCACTACTCATCACTCTCACAATATCCTCAATCCTGCCTTATTTTAGCTGACACTGATGCACCAATTATCCCATTCATTTACAAAGAAACTTAAACTAGTATCTACATTCAGTACAAAGGGTCTGTAAGTAATACAGACCCTTCAATGGAAAAAAAAGGAATTGTTAAATTGAATTTCTTCAATTAATTTCAATTTAATTTGTGTCGACAAACATGTACTGGTTTTGACAATAAAATATGTTAAAATACTGTAGTCTTTAAAATTCCCATGTGGAAATTGGCAACGTGATTGTAGCTTCTGAATGAATACACAGAGTTTTCACTAACTTGTACTCTTTTGACTGCATAGCATGGGAAGTTGAGAAAGAAATTCTTCTAGGTTGAATATTGAAAAAAATCATCATCTGTTTCCTTCACTCAGTCACTAGTATACAAAGACAGCCTTAAGCAGATTTGCTGATTAATTTATCGGTATCTAAATATTTTGCTTTCTCTTAATTCAGTGAATGATCTATAGTACTGGAACATTTATATGTTAAAATTTCTTATTTGGTTATTGTCCTTATTAACTCTTATAGATGCTTTATAAATCCAATAATAGAGCTTTGAGAGCATTTATTCTGTTTCCCACACATTTTAATAAGTCTGGCCCAGCCTTTTCCACAGAAGCAAATGTACAGATCTCCACACTTGAACATGAGGCCCTCCAGTTCATAATATGCGTACCCAAAGCAGTGACACTAATGCTGTATCTAGCCTTTTCAACGGGGAGGGTAATCTGTGATAACAAAATTGTATCCCTTCCTTCCTGCAATTACCTCACTATCCTCACAGCCTTGACATCTGGAAACCCACTGCTACTGCAGCAGCTGTGACTCCTCTCCTAGCAGGAAGTTAACTATACATTCCAAAGAGCACCAATTGTTTTGATATTTTCTGGCAGCTCAAAAAGCTTGGATATTGGTGAACACATTATTTTGTGGCAACCACATTTTGGAATTATACACAATTGTACAACATGTCACAATCTGAACCACTCACAGGTGTTAATGTTGTCTTTGTCTTACTGATGTCATATTCTAAATTTAATCATTTTAAATGTAGAGTAGCATAGCAGAGAATTAAAGCTCATTCTCCTCATATTCACTTCTGCCATCATTTTCTCAAATGATCAGCATGGAAGAAGACTTACCCAAATATATGCTCCTATTTAAATCCTTGGAAGAGAATTAATTAATTTAAGTTAAAAAGCATTGTGAGCATCATCATGCTCTGTATTGGCCTACATAGCACCTCTGTTAGCAGAGTTTTTCAGATACTTATGAATTTTCTAGAAATCAAAACTTCCAAAAGAGGAGCAGAACTACTAAGCAGTGGGCAAACCTAACTGCATTTTAGCATCACCAAATGTCTAAACCTATTTCATGTTTTTGAGCTGACAAATCTATATGTTGTTTTTGCAGATTGCTCCTATTCTTTAAAAATAATCAAAGAGATGACTGCTAGATTGACTTAATGTAAATTTATCTTTAAATGGCTACAAATAATTATTATTCTCATTTTAAGAGCATTAGTGGCTTTGGTTCATCAAATTAAAAGTGAAATGGATTTCAGTACTACTCTACAATTACTTTGTTAATCAGAATGATTGCCAATGATCTCACAGGAACTAAATTGTCTTGCTACAGAACAGATTGAGGATTGCTTTATTTCACAGCAAAGCTCTGCAAAAATATAATTAATTACATATGATTTTGATTTAGTTCATACATTTTATTTTTCATTTCTATCTTCCCTCTTCCCCACATTTCTTTTAAAATATGGTAATGTTTTCCATTGTATATTTTTATTTGCCCTAAATTCTAATTAAATTTCATATTTCTCTTTGCTTAATTATTTCTTCCGGAATTTTACACTCATACTGATTAAATCTCAAGCTCTTTCTTCCCTCCTATTCTTTCTTTCTCTTCTTTCTCACACACAATTTAATAGTTCACTTTAAGTGATTGCTGATGCTTTGTATTCAGCGACTCTAATATCTGATATCCTTTTCTGGTTAAAAATATTTTTGCCAGGCATTTATAATATATTGTCTATTACACTGATTCTGTGTATGTTTAAGCATTTGATCGCTTTTATTCAAGTGTTCCTACGACAACCAAAAGATATTGTGCATTATCCTATTATTCTAATGCTCCAAGGTATACTGCAGGCTTAAATAACCATAAAAGCAATGTTTGTTTAGAAAGTGACTGGTTTGTTTACCTTCACTGCTGCAGAAACTCTCAAGAGGCAATTTGCCGGGGGCTGATACTTGTAACCATTAGCAATTATGGATTCTAGAAAGATGCTGATAGAAGTTTTTTAAAAAGGATTTCAAAATCAGATGCAAAAAATACAACTGTTTTTATTATAATTTATGCTGCTTGCCTTTCTTATCTTAACTAAAATTCACTTTTCATCAGCCTGCAATGAGTCATAGGAAATGCTGTATGAATCTTGGGTCGTTCTTGGACATTCATAGTCAGACAAATTATTTTCAGAATCAGTAAAGCAGAATTATTTTTATATGACGGTGTCTTTACTCATCATTGATATTTTGCTGAGGTCTGGACAAAATGCCAGTAATATACTTTTTATTGCCAAAGGATCCACTTACACAATGGAGACGTGGGTACACCATTCTACAGTCAGGCACTGATCATTTGACATAACGTACTGAGCTTTGGGGAAAACACAAGGAGGATACCTGGGACACTGTTCTCAGGGAGGTTATCTTCTAGATTCTTTACTAATAGTACGTCAAAGATGGGGAATAGTAAACACTAAGGAAAGGCTTTTCAACAGAAGCATCTCCATTAGTCTCCTTGTTGGGCCAGACAGCAAACTGTGTTTCTGTTTCTATTAAATACAAACTGATCTCAAATATTTAGAACAAAGAAAGCACATCCTTTCCGCCGAAAGTTATAGATATCCTTTGCTATGTGATAAATGGTTGAAATTATCAAATATTTAGAACAATATGATTGAAGAGTTCAGTTACAGGCTTTGATTTTGACTATTTGCTTGTTGATGAGTGTTTTGCAGAAATGCCCAATACGTTTGAATTGCTTTAGTTTGAGCATGATTTGTGTCAGAAATAGTGCTTATTAAGCTGTTTATTGTTCTTTTCCTTTTTCTTACACATTTAAAAATCATTCTTTATTTTCCAAAGACCTCTTGGTCAGAAAGTTGGCTTTAAGAATTGTGTTATGCCATAATATAATAAAATGTATACAGGCAGAAAATAAAAGAAACATGATTTATGCATAAGACATTTTGCCTTTAAGCTATTCAAACCTGACTTTAGTGAAGTTTATTATCCAGATTTTCTCACCTGATAACATAAATTTTGACAGAATGAAAATGTTAGTTTTGACTGATAAACAAACTGCCTTTAATCATCCCAAAATTTTCGCCTAGGAAAGAAACTGAAAACAGTTCTTAAGTCTAATTAGAATAGAGAGATAACATTTTTAATACTAGGTTTAATCTTGGCAAAAATATCTGTATCTCTAACTCAAACTCACTATATACTTTTTAAAAATAATATTCCTCATCTTTTAATATAAAGGAGAATTTCCATATAAGTCATTAAGACCTAAAATATACTAGGTACTGGAAGCTATCATTGACACACTGTCATTCAAATACTACATATATTTGGCATAAATGTAATAGGTCATGTACAACAAGCCATCAAGACTGTGTGCAAATCCCAACAACTACTTCTTTTTTTCTGTGTTTTTAAAGGAATAAGACACAATGAATTTATTATGAAAATCTCCCACATTGTATTTTCCCCTTAATAATGTAATATATACATTTCAAATTACAATTCAATGCCTAAAAATTTTTAACATTTTATAATTTTTAAAATTTAGAGACAATCTGGAGAGCATTAGGTATGATTTTGCAAATTGTGCAGTGTATATTTTATTACAGACTTTTAACTGCTGAGCTTTCTTACAGAGGTCGAATGCGTATATTTATGTTCAGCTTAGTCATATGACAAAGTATCTCCATTGCTTAACAAGAAAAACATATAAAAAAGAGAACTATAATGTTCATAACTCCTAGCATACAAATGCCACTGCACTGTTCACATCAAGACATTTGAAGTTAGAGTCTCGTCACTGTCAACCCAGATGTGTGTATTTTGGACACATTTTTTTGAGCACTACAAAATCATAAAGCAACTTAAAATAACAATGGAAGAAACCTAAGCTCTGCTTGATAAAAATGCACTTTATTTTATAAGGTGTTCACAAAATGGCTTAGATCTGAAAAATGAAATCTGTCTCAGTTTAAGACAAGCACAAAGACATTTCCCTTCTGGACAACAGACTTTGGCATTGCAAGATCAAAGGAACAATTTTATCTGCATTGTGACTACAGCCCAAAAGATTTTACAGTATTCCTGTCTCCATGCTAAAGCTTATGTGTCTTTAATGGCATTTAAATTATAGCCCTCTGTAGCCAGCAGTCAAAACACCACATCATCTGATGGGACACCATGTTATGTTCTGTCAGTTTGTCTCATTTAAGAATTCTTCTATACTGTACTTGCCCTCATTTTTCTCTCTTGGTAGAAAAAATGAGTAAACTGCCTTTTAAACTAGGTTTAGGAGTTGACCTAATCAAGATAGACAAAGACATATTTTGTCTATTTAAAATTACTAAATTTAAACCTACTTAGAGACTGTTTTTCTTCTTTTTGTTCTGCAATACACTTCTTTCACATTTTTGTTTTTTGATTTTAGGATTTTCTTCTCTCTAATGTATCACATGGCACATGGCATATTATAGACACTTATGACGTGAAAATTAAGAATGTGTTTCCATCAGAAAATTAAAGCTAATGTATTGCTTTCTCTAAGCAAAGTATTTTATGTTAAACTGATTTGTAAAAGAATGACTATTATATATAAAGGGAAGGAACTGTTCTCTGAATTCTGCTATACCACATAATGCAGATGGCGTGTTTCAAATGTCACTGGAGAGACAAGTTTTCATTTGAATATGTACTTCTAACATAATGTTTATTATAGTAACTTAACAATAAAAACTTGCTGAAAATTAGCACTTTACTCAGAATATTTCTGTACATATAAAAATAAAATGTTACGTTTTCTTGATCTGCAGTCCCATACTCTACCTCTGAGCTATACCCCCTCCTAGATGTTACATTTTCTACAGAAGCAATCAACTTTTCCTCAGAAATAGATATAATCAGGAATACATTGTACCTTCAGGATATCCAATATTATATATATTGATAAGTAGTTACCATAGCCATTTTAAAAAGCAAAACTCATTTTTTTCCAGGAGCATATGCTAGATTAGTAATTGATGGATAACTTTGCTTTCATGCTTCAAAATATGAGAGGGAGCTTTATGTATTTTTAAGAGTAGATTTAAATAACTTGAAAATATAATGAATTTTTAAATCACATGTTCATTTTAAGATTGAGATGCAATATGCTTGTTGAGGATAAGTGATTTTAACAAGCCCACGGGAAGCATTTCTTAAGTAAAGTGACACTATATTAGAATAAAATCAACTGAGAGTATTTATGAGAATACGTGTGTCTGTTTTGGAAAAAGCCAAATATTACAATAAAATAAAAGTCTAAATGATTTTGACTGACTTCTGTTTCTATTACTTTTGTGTAGAAAATCACATCTTCCCTTTGCTACATAGAGAGTAGAAATAAAGGGGGGTACTGGAAACATAATCTATTTGAGGAGTAAAGTCTTTTTCTCAATCTGGAAATTCCAAGGAAACTTAAATATAGTTTGCTTACCCAAGGAACCAGAGAGGAGATGCAGAAGGTATTTATTGAGAATGGGGATAATTTAATATAACACTTTCTCATTGAATCAGGATTGGATGTTTCCACACTTGTCTGACATTTGATAAAAAATTATTGTCAATTAAAAAATTATTGTCAGAATACTATGTAGCTAAGTGGGAACATAGAATGCAATATTTTTATAAAAATACTAATTTTTCTTATTGGGAGTAAAAAAAAAAAAGAAGAATAGTGGTTTCCAGTGGCAAAAGAATAGAGTAGAAAGAACACTTTTCTTTGTGTGGAAAATAGTTAATTTTATATCCCCATTCTCTTCTACCCCACAACTAGGATAAATCCCAGAATTGTTTCTGGAAATATAATTATTTGATGAATACTAGAGATTATGTGCAACATAATGAACACTTGTAAATCTACTATCCAATTTAAGAACTAGAGCAGCACCAAAATTGATAAAGCAACCTCTGTACTTCTCCTCTGTCTTCTTCGCTGCCTCAGAAGTTACTGTTATCAAGTCTCCACATACAGTTGTTTAGGGTGTGTACTTTACAAATCTAAGGGATGCCTACCATTACACACAGGCCTGATATGAACGATGCCCCTTAAAGTGTGCTGTGTATCACCTACACAGATTTTCAGGATGGCTCTCCACTCTCCTAAACTTTAGGATTACCTTTTCAAATGAAAGTTTAGCTTGGTTTGAGCTTTACAAAAATGGCAATATGTTTCCTATTGTCATCTACATCGTTGCACATAGTGTATGTTGATATTCTTCATGGTGTACATTATTAAATTAAATTATGTAACTATTCCTAAGTTATTTTTTGTTCCCTTTTTGGACATCTAAATTGTTATCTGCTTTGCAATTACACAAATCCTGTATGCATCTCTTGGTGCACATGAACAACAAATGCTCTAAGATATGTACTAGAGCAGAAATCTGAGTCATAGGTTTGTGAATGAATTAAGGTATATATGTGAAAGGAAGAACTTTAAAACTCTAATGAATCTATATGAAGCATATTATGATATTAATATAAAACTGCACAAACTTCATTTTAAAAGACCTAAACATTTTCTAATATTAAATATTTTCATCATTTTTACAAGTATTATTTATGCACAGGCATCAAATCTATATAAGTAACTACTTGAGTGGTTTTATAAAATATCTGCCTTGCTAAATCAATCAACAACCATTCTCTCCAAATCTATTATCTAGAAGAGGCAGCAAAGCCAGAATCCATTTTGGTAATCTTAATATGGATTAAACAAATTCATTTTAAACTCTGAATATGGAGGCTAAAATTAAAGGATCGAGCCAATACAAAAATGACCCATTTCATTTTTCTTCCAATACCCTTTCAAATTACTTATGGAAATAGTGACTATTAATACCAAGTCTGAAGTTATAACTGTAAGCATAGGTATAACAACGTAGGGAAATGTACAGAAAATTACTAGATAGAAAGTTTTTTTTCATTGTGGTGAAATGTACATAACACAAATGTCACAATTTTAACCATTTTAAGTGTACAGTTTATGGGCTTTAAGTACATTCACATCATTGTGCAACTTCACCATCAATCATCTCTACCTTTTCCATATTTACCTTACCAAACTGAAACTCTGTACTCATTACACAGTAATGCCTATCCTGCCTCCTTTTATCTCCTGGCAACCACATATTACTTTCTGTCTTTATAAATTTGACTATTCTAGTTATTTCATGTAAGTGAAACCATGTAGTATTTGTCTTTTTGTGACTGACTTATTTCACTTAGCGTAATGTCTTCAAGTTTCATCTGTATTGTAGAAGAATATTCTTCCTTAAAGCCAAATAATATTCCATTGTGTATATATGTATCATATTTTTTATCCATTTAACCTTGATGAACAGAGGGCAGTGGGTTGCTTCCACCTTCTGATTATTATAAATACTGTTTCTCTGAACAGAGATATACAAACATCTTTTTTGGTCCTTGCTTTCAATTATTTTTACTATGAAGATTTTTAAGAACTCCCATTAGTTATCATCATGGGCAGTTGCCATCCTAGGTGTTAAAAGAAAACCCTGAGATTGGCCTGGCATGGTGGCTCATGCCTTTAATCCCAGCAATTTGAGAGGCTGATGTGGGTGGATCACTTGAGCTCCAGCCTGGGCAACATGACAAAACCTCATCTCTACAAAAAACTACAAAATACGCCACGGAGTGTGGTGGCATGTGCCTGGAGTCCCAGTTGCTCAGAAGGCTGACGTGGGAGAATTGCTTGAGCCCAGGAGGCAGAGGTTGCAGTGAGCTGAAATCACACCACTGCTCTCCAGCTTGGGCAATAGAGCCAGACCTTGTCTCAAAACAAACAAAACAAAACAAGACAAAACCCTGAGAATACTTCCTTTAGATTGGCAGAAGGAAGGATAAAGACAATACACATTTTATATATCTTGAATGCATCTAATCTTCTAAAAATGAACAGGTCTTATTGATACAATATCCAAGTTGCTATATTCTAATTTCAATAATATGAAATTGTTAGAAATTTAACTATAGATATAAAATTACTCATTTGAAGAGCACATTTTATAAACATAATTTTTTCTCATGCTACTCCACTTAATAATGGGTTACATTTGCATGAAATACCTATCAAAAATACTTTATTCTACTTCATTAATATTTGCTAATATTCACAATGTGATGATTATTTGGTAGATAAGCTGATAGATGATTGATGATAGAGAGATAGAGAGATAGATAGAGATAGAGAGAGAAAGAGAGAGAGAGAGAGAGAGATAGTCAAGTCAGTCTGGTTCAACCCTTTCTTGACCATTTTACAGTAGACAAAACAGATTTTGAGAGATTAAGTGTACAAAATCCTTCAATGAGGAAGTTGTAACATCAACGGTCAAACTTTAGTCTTCCTGATATCAAAATGCATTTTATCCACTGTAGATTCTGCCTTTCTTAGCTTAACTAATTCTCCCCAAAACACTATGAAGTAGAGAGCAGAGTTGACAGCTGTTCATTTTCTCTGGAGAAATAGATCTTTGAGATATTAAATAATTTCCTTAGGATTTCATAGCTGATAAGTGGTATAATAATATCTCAAATCTTCTGTTTTTTAATTTGTACTTCTTCCATAACCTATGCTACCCATGACCACCATTTAGTTTTTATTGATGTTAACATACAGTATTTTATCCCAGACAATAAAGTCTATGTATACTGAATGCATCCTTTAAATATTAAGTGAAGTACATAACTGGCTCTGTGCCATATTTCTTTAATCAGGAGACTGAGCATCACATTTAGATTTGATGAGTTTGGGAAGAGTTCTCAATCATCCAGATCCATGGAGCTTAAGAATTACTGCAGAAATCTCCTTCAGTATAGATATAGGGAGCATTAATGCTTTTGTGGTACTAAAGATATTTTTGAGCTTAGACACAAATCTTACTTGTCCTGAACTGATGTGATAGGAATTGCACAGGTGCCTCAAATCAAGCTCATCTTTGTAAGTAACTCTAGATAATAATACACTTTGGTATCTTCAAACGTACTTATTTATGCATGGAAAAGTTCAGTAATTATCATGAGGACTGTTTGTAGTTTAGTTCTTTTTGAATTTTAGTGAAGAGAAATATCATTCATGCCTTAACACATGAGGGGAATCCCCGAAAGGTAACTACTCATTATCCTTTGGGTTCATCCAGTTTCATGTCAAATCACTGGACTATCATTTCCACAGGCTCATGCAAGAGAACAAGTGCAGGTGTAGTGAATTTATCCTTCTACCCATGTGGCATGAAAATTTCAACGTGCAGTCACGTCATCAAAATATCTTTGCTCCTTTCATCATAATCTATTTCCAAAAAAGAAGGAGCAAAAGACACTGTTCATTTTTAAATGTGGGGCTGGGCACAGTGGCTCATGCTTGTAATCCCAGCACTTTGGGAGGCCAAGGTGGGTGGATCATGAGGTCAGGAGTTTGAGATCATCCTGGCCAACATGGTGAAACCCCATCTCTACTAAAAATACAAAAATTAGCTGGGTGTGGTGGCACATGCCTGTAATCCCAGCTACTTGGGAGGCTGAGGTAGGAGAATCGCTTGAACCCAGGAGGCAGAGGTTGCAGTGAGCCACCACTGCACTCCAGCCTGGTGACATAGCAAAACTCTGCCCCTCCCCCCAAAAATTAAATTTGGAACTGTCAAATAAATAACAGTTCACATAATAATTCATAAAATGTGAGTGTCACTCTTTTTAAAAAGTCCCAGGCCGGGCGCGGTGGCTCAAGCCTGTAATCCCAGCACTTTGGGAGGCCGAGGCGGGTGGATCACGAGGTCAACAGATCGAGACCATCCTGGTCAACATGGTGAAACCCCGTCTCTACTAAAAATACAAAAAAAATTAGCTGGGCATGGTGGCGCGTGCCTGTAATTCCAGCTACTCAGGAGGCTGAGGCAGGAGAATTGCCTGAACCCAGGGGGCGGAGGTTGCGGTGAGCCGAGATCGCGCCATTGCACTCCAGCCTGGGTAACAAGAGCGAAACTCCGTCTAAAAAAAAAAAAAAAAAAAAAAAAAAAAAAGTCCCAGAACCCCTTCCTGGGTTTCTCTTTGCTATTACAAGAGTGTTTATTATCCCCTTTACAATTACTGGGCTTCATTTTCAACTAAAGAGATTTCTATTCTAAACCTATCAGTAATATCTATATTATAACAGGCTCCTATCAATGCTCACATAGTGTCTGTCTTTGGAGCATTACAATTTTAGGTTCATTTTGCTTTTATCCAATTGATTTTACTTTCTGCACATTTTTATTTAATTAGTGTAAAACAAAATGGAGCTTAATGATTACTTAAGGCTGAAGAAAAGGAAAAAATATTTTGTTGGTGAAAGGTAATAATAATACCAAAATATTTTCAGATGCAACTAAAATAGAGTTGACTAGAAAAAAAAGAGAAACATAATTTTCATATGATCACTAATTTAAAATGCAAACATTCTGAAATATTAGTATAACACCATTTCATTTCTGAATGAGAATGGTTAATTTTCCTCATTTCTTCCTCATTTAAATGAATAAAATTTGTTTTTCTTGTCATGGATCAACTAATTGCATTGAAGTTTTTCCACAAAAAGTAGAAATAGTTGATGTCTCTCAGACATCAACTTTGCAGAAAGCCTGCTGCCACTGAGCAGTGATATAACCATTTATCTTGGAAGAGCTGCATTCTGACTATGAGAAAATACTTCTCCAGAATCAATTTGCTTTAAAGTTTAGGAAGTGGCCATTCTTTTATATGATACTCTTCCTCCCACTTTAAGATATTTACTGTAAAGATACACACAAAATGTGAGACCCAGAATGTTTTAAAAACTTGAACACTTTGGAGGTAACCAAGACATATATTCTAAAATATTATGAGGGTAGGTGAGTAAATAAAGGATTCAATTTAAAAGTGCAGAAGGTAGTCAGGTAAACAAAGAAATAAAAAGAACAAGGTGGGTAAATAACATGAGTTTCTGCTGTTGTCATTACTCAGAATATGAGGATCTATTTGGCAAAAGGAAAATAAAGTATATTGACTTATTAGTTCATTTCTAAAAATATTTATACTTAAAGCAAGGCAATTATATAATTTAAAAAGATACATATGAGTATTACTAAAATATGTACATATATAATATGTAATTACATATATAAAAACATACAAATTAAAATCATCAGTGCAATAATCCCTTTGCTTTTTAGAAATCACTGTCATACACAATGAATTTCATGTTTGAATACAGTATAATAATAGACACTGCAGTCATTTCTAAAATGAGGTCATTTATGTTGGTAACGTAGTTAAATTTAAATTTAACTAAATATATTTAAGAATGAACTTGAAATGTTAGATTTGAAAGTATCTGAAATTGTCTAATATATTCAAAGTCTGGACATCTGTACTTCACTGTATTTGCATTTTACATTTCTTTTTCTTTTTGACTTATCTGTTTTGAAGTGGATTTCTAGTAAATTTCCATACTGCATTTTACATGCTGTTGCTGGAAACTATATATTGATTTTTTTCTTATGGCTTCTGTTGTAGATGAACTCATGTGCAACTGAACTTATAAATGATATTCAGCAACTCTAGAGAAAGACACAATCTCCATTTAAAAATGAAGGGTGCGCATGAGTTACTCAACATGTGAGTCACCAAGAAATGCAATACTGTGCAATGACTGGTGAATCACAGTCTCTAAAGGAAGCTTTTTGAGATTTTTACACAGATGGCTATGCAAAGCATAAATAAGTGTGAGGAGGAGGGAAAAAGGGGAGGAAAAAATAAATGTGCTGTGGGACAGGCGACGGCAACTTTCATTGTTCTTCATTTTCTTGACCACTGAGCTAACTCCTTAAAGAAACCCTACAACTCATCTCTACGATTGCTATTGCATGTCTACATAGACTTTTAAAAATTCTAAAATTCACTTCATTCAATTTAGAATTGTTATTTTTAACTTTTATACCTTATACGTGGTCAAGTGATTTAGGGAGTGAATTTCCGTGATGTATATGTAATGTTCTCGTCTATGCTGCAATAGGCTGCATGAGAGCAGGAATCCCACGCCTTACAGTCTACAAAGATAGAGTACAGGACAGAAAGTAGAGGGGAAGAAGGAAGGCCTCCCAAAGTTACTTTTACACATTTGTAATTTATTCCAATAACTTTTAAAACTCTGTCTCTTCCTTCTCCACCTTGTCTTGTCACAATTCACATCAAATTGAAAGTATTTTAAAATAAGAAACTGGCTGGGTGCAGTGGCTCACACCTGAAATCCCAGCACTTTGGGAGGCTGAAGCAGGAGGATTGCTTAAGCCCAGTTCGAGACCAGCGTGGACAACTTAGGGAGAACCCATCTCTACAAAATTATACAAAACTTAGCTGGGCATCATGCCATGTGCTTGTGGTCTTAGCTACTTGGGAGGCTGAGGCAGAATTACTGGAGTCGGGGAGGTCAAGGCTATAGTGAGCTGTGGTCTCAAAAAAAAGATTCTGTCTCAATAAATAAACAAATAAGAGGCTGATTAACTTTACTGTGGCCCATGCAGTACATGTATCACCGACCGTGTAAAATATAAACAACTGTGATAACTTTGTGTTGAAACTGTCTAGACTTCTGCTACCCATAGAATCAGGTCCGCACTCCCTACCATGGTATTAAAAATGTTTCATGGGCCGGGAGCGGTGGCTCAAGCCTGTAATCCCAGCACTTTGGGAGGCCGAGGCGGGTGGATCATGAGGTCAAGAGATCGAGACCATCCTGGTCACCATGGTGAAACCCCGTCTCTACTAAAAATACAAAAAATGAGATGGGCATGGTGGCGCGTGCCTGTAATCCCAGCTACTCGGGAGGCTGAGACAGGAGAATTGCCTGAACCCAGGAGGCGGAGGTTGCGGTGAGCCGAGATTGCACCATTGCATTCCAGCCTGGGTAACAAGAGCGAAATTCCGTCTCAATAAAAAAAAAAAAAAAAAAAAAAAAAAATGTTTCATATTCTGAGCCCAGAAAATTTAGCTTTTTGTCCCTCTACTCACTTTGTTTTTCAGAGACCAGCCTACTATCTATGTGCTCTTTTTCTAACATATGATTGTTATACCCAGTTGCCCCCTCTTAATAGCCATTTTCCCTCACATGCCTTGTCTGTTTCTCTTTGCAGATAAATTCTACTCAGCTCTTTGGTAAATAAGATCTATTCAAACCTTTCTAGAGTGTTTTTGGAGCTTAGTATTTAAAGATAAGAAACCATAGAAACAGAAAAAAAGATTTAGGGGTTATCTAGCCCAATCTTTTCATTTTGCAGCTAAGGAAATTGAAGCACAAATAAAGAATACTGCCCAAAGTCAGACAGTAATAAGTTATACAGTCATGACTATCTATGACTTGCCAGTCTCTATACCCGTCATCACGTGAGCCTTTGAATCAGGTAGTTCTGGCCTTAACCTTGTGAACTTCCGAACTTACCTTGGGTAACCTTTCAGATTCTAAATTAAAATTGGGAATACAAATATGCAGAATAGTGATTTGTCTTTCCTGTTTCCCACTTCAGCCATTAGTCTACCCGTAACATGTTCTTACTTTCCGAGAGAACCGGGAGCTACTGTAACGGGAGAAGACAGTGATTAGAACACAGTCTGTGGAGGTATATATATGTATATATATAAATTCAGATCTTAAGCCACTGCTTACCACCTTGGTACTTTGGGCAAATGACTTAAATGTTGTATGTCAATTTCCTCATTGGTAAACTGAGAATAAGTAATTGATTGGTTTAATGCATTCAGACATACTTACTCAGAGATTTATATTCTAGGCTATAAGATTTAGCTGTAAACCACACAAATAAAATGCCTGTTGCAATGGAGCTTCCATTCTGGTAGTAGGGGACACGTAATAAACTGACAGACTAATGATATCCGTAGTCTCCTCCCTGCAGCCCTTAGTACATGTGCTGTCTTCTTCCTGGAATTTTCTTCTCACAGAAGTCTCAAGAGTTAGCTCCCTCTCACTCTTCAAATTCTTGTTTAAAAGTCACTTTCGCTGGTTACCTACTTTAAATTTAAATCCTGCCCTCATCACAGTTAATATCCCCTTTCCTGTTCTATTATTTTTCAAGTGTTAGTCCTTATTATTGTCTAACATGCCATCTCTTTTACTTGTTTATCTTTACCTTTCATCTTTCTCACTAACATGTAAACTGCATGAGCACACGGGAATTTGTCTATTTTGCCCTCTGACTTATCCCAAGATCTTAGGACAGTGTCTGGTATGTATCAGGTGTTTGTTACGTATTTACTAAAGGACTGAATTAGTATCTATGGTGATATTTGCAATTAAGCAACACAAACAACAGAAAACCACAGTAAGCTGATCGAGTAAGAAAGGTACTGTTACCAATAGGGTGGTGATGTAGGCCTCCCTGAAAGTGTAACTTTGATTAGAGACACGAATGGGGAAAAATGAGTCATGGTTCCAACTAATGGTCAAGCATTCTAGGCAAAAACAACAGCATTCGAAGGTCCAGAGGCTGATTCGTATTTAGCATGCTCTGCAAGTAGAAAAGAAGTACTTGTGACAAGAGTGAGTGAAAAGAAGAAAGATGGAAAGAAAACGAGAGAAATAGTTCAGACCATTCATTTAAGCTGCGGTGAGGACTTCGGATTTGGTAATGTGACTGCCTGCCAAGATGTAGTGTTGAGAGGTATTGAAGACAGAGCATGTACTAGTTCGTTCTCATGTTGCTAATAAAGACACACCTGAGAGTGGGTAATTTATAAAGAAAAGAGGTTTAGTGGATTCACAGTTCCACATGGTTGGGGAGGTCACACAATCATGATGGAAGACGAAGCAAAGGGACATCTTACATGCTAGCAGGCAAGAGAGCTTGTGCAGGGGCACTCCCATTTATAAAACCATCAGATCTTGTGGACTTAGTCACCACCATGAGGACATCATGGAGAAAACTGTTTCCATGATTCAATTATCTTCACCTGACTCTACCCTTGACTCATGGGCATTATTACAATTCAAAGGTGAGATTTGGGTGGGGCACAGCCAAACCATATCAGAGCACTTAGAATAGCAGGCACGTATGCAGATATTCAATGCAGGTTATTTATTACCGTGAACTGATTCACAGTTATAATTTACAAATGAGGACAATGAAAAGAGAAGTGAACACTGAATTTCTTCCCTATGTATATACTTTATGACAACATTGCAAAACACGCAGACAGAAGGCAACTTAGGTTTTAAAGGGATGTGTGTAAAGTTTTACTTAAAAAAGTATGTTTGTAATCCCAGCACTTTGGGAGGCCGAGGCGGGTGGATCACGAGGTCAAGAGATCAAGACCATCCTGGTCACCATGGGGAAACCCCGTCTCTACTAAAAATACAAAAAATTATCTGGGCATGGTGGTGTATGCCTGTAATCCCAGCTGCTCGGGAGGCTGAGGCAGGAGAATTGCCTGAACCCAGGAGGCGGAGGTTGCGGTGAGCCGAGATCGCGCCATTGCACTCCAACCTGGGTAACAAGAACGAAACTCCGTCTCAAAAAAAAAAAGTATGTAAAGTCTAATAAAAAGATGGATTACAGTCTTATTTTTTAAAAATGCACATTACTTGTAGTAGTCACACTCATAGAACCTGAAATATGTTAGTCCTAATCTGTTATTGATTTTTCTGCACTTACACTCTTATAATATACAGCTGATTATTAAATAAGTCGATAAAATAACAATAGTATCCTGTTACATAATTTGTTTATTTCAAGCTACTGTTTGTTCTCATAAACATTCCAAAATATTACCGGTCAGTTCATTTCACCTCTTTAAAATGTCCACCCTTGGAGGAAATAATCTAGTATTGTTGATTCCCTCAATCTAAATTCTGTATTTCTTTACAATTATTCTAAGCCAGAAATTGAATGGTGATTTTTAAAAGATTATACTTTGTTATATGCCTTATCAATGCAGACTTATTTCTTAATTATTATTTTCCACATTCAGCACATTCTCTGGAATTTTCAATAAACATGATGACATTTCTGAAGAAAAGTTTTTTAAATCACCAAGTAACTCATCGCTAAGGTGGTAATCATTTCAATGTAACACCAAAGTATCTTCTTTCAACCTTATCAGAAAAGAGGAAAATATTTTCACAAAACACTGAAAATCTGAGTTTTTGAGGATTTTTAAACCTAGAAGCCATGCTAATACTTTGTTATAAATAACAATTTCAATTCTTTATGAAAGAGTAAGCATCTAGTACACTTAGATTTTGTCAAATTAAAAAACATGCGCTATATTTAGCTCCAAAAAGAGTTTAGAAATTGATTGAAAAAAATCACATGAAGGTGGTAGAATATGTAGGCTTTTAATTATTTTACTTGTCTAAAGGGTACAGCAATTAGACTGCCTACTATACATTATAAATTAATCCCATTCATTCTAAAAACTTGTTCATTATTTCACAACTTTGAAATTTGGCTGTCCTAATTAATCGCTGTTGCATAATTCAGGCACATGAACCTCTGCAAGGGCTGTGATTTCCAGCTTGTAATCACACATTCAACAAACAGCCGAGTGCTGCAGACAATGGGTCCTTCATGCTCCTCCGAGACAGACTTTCTGCCTCTGATTTATGGGCTGAGTTCTTCTTGAAAGAAACGCCTGGGTGGGGACAGTGCACAGCCTAAGGCAGATTACTTGCCTTGGTTCTTGGCCATCTCACCTGAAAGCTGTCACATGAGCATGGGCAAAGAGCTAAGAGGCCCCTTGGAATATTCCCTAGAAGAAACAAGCCCACCCCAGGATCAGCCTCTTCAGGTTACATCTGCTTTTTGAAATCCCAGCGCTGAGAAGTGTGCTGTACCCAGGGGCTCCGAGTCTACATTTCTTCAGGGAAGGCCAAAGAGCCTGCAGCAAAACCCCCTGGTGGACGTGCATGAGCACTGCCAACACCGGCATTCTCAGCTCATCAGAAACAACAAAAAGGGTCAGCCCTTGCCATCTTGCAGTTTGCTGTCCGAGTTCTTGGTCTACAACATGACTGTTCTCTGTTTCAAACAAATGGAAAATGATTCCTAACTTAGGTCACTTTTAATTTAAGTGAATACATTTAAAATGAAATGAATTTAAAATAGAAAAAAATATTCTGACCTTTCCTAATTGTTTTCCTTTTATTTTGTATAATGAGGCAGGGAAATTACTTACAGTGAGTGTTAAAAAAACAAATATACAAAACAAAAACAAAACAACAAGAAAAAAATGTCACCTAGAACTTCATTGATTTTAGGGAAATCTACTGTGTAAATCATCTCAGCAAGAAATCCTACAGAAAAAGGCAGCAGATTATTCTGCTCACTGATCCTTCTGGTAATTGCAGTGGCAAGAACAGGGCCGTGACTCTGCCACGTATGCGAACAGGGGTCCGGAACCCCTTCTGATGTCTGACAATGTATACAGATTTTTGTTGTTGTTGTTTTTTGAGACAGTCTTGCTCTGTCGCCCAGGCTGGAGTATAGTGGCACCATCTTGGCTCACTGCAACCACCTCCTACCAGGGTCAAGGGATTCTCCTGCCTCAGCCTCCTGAGAAGCTGGAACTGCAGGCATGCACCACCAGACCAGACTAATTTTTGTATTTCTAATAGAGACAGGGTTTCACCATATTGCTAAGGCTGGTCTCGAACTCCTGACCTCAGCACACAGATTTTATAGAGAGAATTGAAGACTTCAGAAATGAGCTTTGTGCCTGGACACTCAAGGATTCTGAAAATTTGTGTTGTATGGAATTTCCACTTCTCATTTTCTATTGTTCTGTAGATTTAGCATAGTTTTACATTTTTAAGAGTCTTATTATTTATTAATGTATATAGGTTGGGTTGGAGGTAAAAGACAAGACAGAAAAGCATAAATAATAACTCTCAAAGTGGTATAATTGTTAACAAATTACCTAAATATTCATATGCATAAGAAATGTTGGTAAATATCACATAAGTATCTATCACACGGATCCAAGAGAATTTGAACTTTTCTATATTTGTTTAAGATATCAATTCATTAATGGGAAGATATATTGAACAAATACTATTTTAAAGTCTGATATATAATCCTGCAAGGCAAATTTTGGCTCTGTTTTTAAGTCTTGATTTACCATTCTGTATTTCAAATATTGACAAATAAGTGATTTCATTGAATTTGAAGGAGAGAAGAAGGAGGGAGGAAAATACCTAGAAGTTTAAGAACCAGATAAGCTTTTTATTTATTACAAAGTATAAATCATTTGATGAATTCTCTCACAGAAAAATAATGAAGAAAAATCTGTTAAGGATCCTTGTTCTTCAGAAGAAAAGAAACTGAATGGATGCTGATGTTTTATGACATTTTGAGATCAAATGTATTTCCTGTGGCTCTCTGAGAGACAGAAGGGAAGGGGTGGAGATGCTGGCTTTCCATGGGTACTAGAGTAATGGCACTGATCTGAAGCCACTGCAAAGTCTTAGATTCTTGAGTGCACTTATCAAATAAAACAAGAGATATTTAAAACACAATCAGAGCAGTAAGTTTGTATTGTTATAATGAAACATTGTAACTCTCTTGGTGTTATCTCTGGACTGAAACAAAATAAAAACAATCATGAATCAAAAAATGGAACAAGAACTGAAGCAATAATCACAGACTTAAAAGTTGGGAAGAGAATTTTTGCCCAACCCATGAACTTCACTGAGGACCTAAAAAAAAAAAAAAAAAAAAAGAGGAAGTGATTATTAGAAATGACTCCAGATTATACATTGACTCCTGGCTCTGTCTTTAGGTTTTTATGAGGTTTTAGGCAAGCCTCTTATATTTTCTTAGTCATCATTTTATGAAATTAAGTGTCTCTATTAGACTACATGGTAAACATCCAAAAAACTAGAAATTTATGTCTTAATCTATTTTGATAGAAAGTATAATCAGGTAGAATATTCTTTATAATAAAACAAGCAGAATTAGTGTGAATAGGTTTTCATTATTACTTGATGAGATAATTATTAATTTTAGGGTTACTTCTTAAGATTTTTTTTAGTAGAGAATCTGTATATTTATATAGGTAACTAAATGGGAAATAATCCAAATTTATACTCACTTTCAGCTGATAATCTATAATCAAAGTAATGCCTAAAGTATAATATAGGCCTTATTAGGTATCTACTTCTTATGTTGACATTCTCTGGAATTAAACCATAGACACATAATTTTCATGTTCACAAAAGAAAACCAAAAATACAATTAAAAACAAATTTTTTCTTAAAGCTGTGATTACATAGCATATAATTGACTATAAATGTAACCTATTAGCTACTAGGACATATAAGTACTATCCAATTGTCCAAATATAAAACTCTGCAGTAAGAGAAAGTACGAAAGTCTATTCCTGCTTGGCTCTGGTATGGAATCTCAAGAGGGTCATTGTTTAAAGAACAAAAGAAAGACTCCATTCAACTCATTAGTAAATATTCTCTCAATTCATACAGGAAAGGTACAAAGGTAGTTCCAGATCAGCTTTGCCTTTAGTCCTTATGTCCTTTGCTGCTCATAGACCTTTTCTGGCTCTCTACACCCAAGGCCATCTGTTACAGTGGCACTATTCCCATTAGAAACCTTCTCTCCATTGTCTTTCTCTTTCTCTCTCTCTCCCTTCCTCCTTCCTTCCTTCCTTCCCTCCCTTTCTTCCTTTTCTTCCTCCCTTCCTCCCTCCCTCTCTTCCTTCCCTCCTTCCCTCCTTCCTCCCTTCCTTCCTCCTTTTCTTCTTTCCTTCCTCCCTCCCTTCCTTCTCTACTTCCTTCCCTCCTCCCTTCCTTCCTTCCCTCCTTTCTTCCTTCCTCCCTCCCTTTCTCCCTTCCTCCCTCCTTCCTCCCTTCCTTCCTTTTTTCTTTTTTTTAATTGCATTTTAGGTTTTGGGGTACATGTGAAGAACATGGAAGATTGTTGCATAGGTACACACGTGGCAGTGTGATTTGCTGCCTTCCTCTCCTTCACCTATATCTGGCATTTCTCCCCATGCTATCTCTCCCCAACTCCCCACCCCGACGCTGTCCCTCCACTATTTCCCCACAACAGACCTCAGTGTGTGGTGCTCCCCTCCCTGTGTTCATGTGTTCTCATTGTTCAACACCCGCCTATGAGTGAGGACATGTGGTGTTTGCTTTTCTATTCTCTTTTTCTTTTCTTTTCTTTTTTCCTTTTTTCTTTTCTTTCTTCCTTTCCTCCCTTTCCTTTCCTTTCTTTCATTTCCCACCCTTCTCTTCTCTTCCCTACTTTTCCTTTCTTTCTTCCTTCCCTCCCTCCCTCCCAAACACACACACACACTCTCTCTCATGGAAGTTAATAAAAAATTTTATTTATTTGTATTTAAGGCTTTGATGTGAAATTACTAAATTTTCCATAAAGTAGAGCCTTTAGTTTCCATGTTTGCATCTAAAACTAAAAAGAAAAATTAAAAATTAAAAAGTGGCAGGGTTATTCCTCTTTGGATATTTGAACTTCAGATTCCTGAAGACTTCCCTTATGTTTCCACAATTTTATAGCAAGGATCTGAACTTACTCTTCTGATAATTCCAAAGCAAACTATAATGCCATAAAGTGCATATTGGCATAACAATTGGTGCAGCCTCCAAATTCAGCTTTATTGGTAGGGAGAAATGTTTTGAAACACCTCTGGTATATATTTTCATGTAATATTCTCTAACATTTTCAAAAATATAAAAATCAAAAAGTGAAGGCTGAACAAATATTCTATAATACTCATACAAAAGCCTGAAAATAAGTCAGATTAGCAAATTATTATTTTATTCACTCATAAATTCTTCAAATAGAAACATTCTGTCATACTTAAAATAATTTGTAAAACTCAAATTTGGTTTTATCAGATGTAGAACTTTGAATAGAACATATTCTCCTTCTCCTACCCCATCGTGCCATAGACACAGAAAAATGCTCCTAAGGATGAAATGTCATGTTTTGGAAACGTATGCTGTTTACGAGGATGTAAATATACTAAGTTTTAGGAGACATCTGTTTTGCCTTTCTCAGTATGCTGCGTATATTTTAATTCCATTATTTCCCCCAAATTATTCCAAATTTGTGATGATGTATGTGCATCTAATTTTAAAATTTTTACTGTCCTCTCAAATAAGATATCTTTAGTAACTACAGAGGCTTACAAAAATTGTGTTTTCAGTATAATGTTAACTTTAAAGTAAAAAGTTATATTTAAAGGCAGAGGAAAATCAAGCCACTTGCCATTACTTCTGCCATATGCCTCAAGCTATTCCCCATAATAGAAGTAAAAGCTTATTTGTTGATATATTTTCTTCCCAATAGGTGTTTTGGTTTTTTATAATAATTTTTTATCCCAAAGAAATGATACTATTGTCTCTGGAATGCCCCCGAATGTTTCCATTGTAGTATGAGAAAATTATTATAAGTTAAAAGTGCTTACAGAAAGATTTTTCACGAGGCTAATAATTTTGTTCATTACAGATTCAGTCCTATAGTTCTGGTCCATAGAATGGTGTGGTGTGCTGGTGTGATTGCTTTTGAGTCAGTATAAATTAGCAACTTTAGTATTATTCAGGTCATCTTAAGAAAACTGGGCAGAATAAAGAATTGAGAATGTAAAAGAAGCTGTTTAAAAATGAATAGTTAGGTTTAAAACTTCCATTTAGTAAACAATTTTTTACCCTAAAATGAAAAATATAGAAGATTTTTGAAATGGTCTGGCCAAAATCACTTTTCTGTTCTATGTGAAAATAAAAGCTAAAAATAGATTGAAGTATAATGTATTTTTATGGTTTTTTTTTCTCCAGAATGACAGGATTTATCTGTAAATCTCATTATTTAAAATACGCCTCCCTGTAGTTAGTTATTAGGCATAAGGAGAAACTAATAGGATTGTTCAAGTCGGTCAGTAAGTTTGAAGGTATTTTGGGGATGCTTAGTCTTTTAGGTGACTATATAATTCAATTTGTTGTTTACTAGTCAGAATTTCTTCTTTTGAACAATAAGAAGAAATCCAATGCAACGTTAAGAAGTGCAATTTTAGGTACAATATAATGACCGCAGATTACAGTGTAAATCAGTGTCTCACAGAGAAAGTGGAACTGAAAGATAAAATAGGAGATGACATGGCAATGAAATGATTATCAGCTTTTTAGACATTGATATAAACTGAATTTAATGAAAGCAAAATAAATGTTGGAAAAAAGACTCTGAGTTATTTTGCTATTTTTAATGCTCTTTCTAATGATATCTTTTGGGGACAATATCTTCTAGCTAAAATTACTTCAATAAAAAAAAAAAAATCCAAGAATGCTAAAACATTTTCCCGTAAGAACATTCTAATTGGCAGCCTCTTAACTGTTAGCAAAAAAAGCTTTTGTATTTTTAAAAAATTGGCTGTGAAACAAACTTTCCATTTGCTGAGTTTTTAAAATAAATATCAATATTTACATTAATGTGACTAATTTTTGGATAAACACATCTCTATAGTATATACATCCAAATGCTGTTTGCCCCTCAGAGTTAAATGCCTTGAAAGATAGCACCATAAGCCAGGGAATCTGCCACTGATCACAGTGTTTTTAGGAGTTGCCATTAAGTGGAACCATTTATTTTTTTAACCCCACTCTTCAAAATACTCACACAAGTCAACTTTCCATCCTTTGAGAATGATTCAAGTTTCAAAAATAGCTTTAGAAACTCTTAATGTGGCAAAACATGGTTTATATAGTAGTTTATCAGGTTGGTCCACAAGAATTGGAATTTTAAAACTCATATGGATTTTAATCTGGGGTAAGTGAGATACCTCTGAAGGTCATTTGGGTGAACACAACCATATTAGCTGGATATTTGTCCTGAGCACCTAGGACAATACTAGAAAAGTAATGAAATGAGAAAAATGTGTGTGTGTGTGTGTGTGTGTGTGTGTGTATATACTTATTATATAATTGCTGTTATATATAATATACTATTAATATATATACTATGCCAATGCCACTGTGTGTATATATATTTATTATATAATTGCTATGTTATATATAATATACTATTAATATATATACTATGCCAATGCCACTGTGTGTGTGTGTTTATATATATATATATATATTTTTTTTTTTTTTCTTTTGCCAGAACTTACCTTATTGAGAAAATAGTATGCAGTTTGAATACCTGAGTAGGGGTGAAATCGATTTCCAAAGATATGTTATGGTAAAAACAGAAGTAGATAAACTCATTTCCAAGGCAGAATTTTGTCTAACCAAGACACTATGCTGTCTTATCTGCTTCCTTCCACTTACCCCTTTACTAACTAAAACTAGAGACAGTTCATTGATATTGTTTTGCATGGGCCCCAAATTATTATACTCTACATGATACTCATATGTCTTGATCAACAGGGTTAATATATAAATGTTTTTAAAAATGAAAATCTTATTGGAATAAGTATACAGTTTCTCAAAAATAACTTTAAGGGTAATAGATTACATTCAGACATATCAGGCAGCAATATAAAATTAGCTATTTCCACACTGTTTTTTATGAAATCAGGTAACTGGAGGCTAGTGGGGAAATAAACTGAGTTGAGTTGAATAGCTAGATGTTGACGGGCTCTAGAGAATCAAGGAAGAGGCAGCAAGTAGCTATTGAGTGTCTCCTGTCTCCAGGAAATATGTTGGGTGCTCACGGTCCATAGATGATTAAAGAACAACCTCTGACCCAAAGGATCATACTGTCTAACGAGATAGGCCAAGAAAGAGAAACTGTGATTAAATTATTGATGTACCTATTTTTCTTTTTTAGAAAATTTTTCACAAAGAAAAATATGTAGCATTGAAACTAGAATTCTATATCATCTTGGTGTACTTGCCCTTAACGTATTACACTGTCTTATTCTCTCCTCATATTAAAGGTCAACTGGCAATATCAGATATCCTGTAAGTCTCAAAATAAAAATATAGAACTTAATTTATACTGTTTTCTTGTACAGTTTTGAAATAAATTCTTGGTTAATAAATAGAAAATAAAAAACTGTTAATAGAAGCAAATACATTATATACAGAGAATAATATAAAGGAAGTAAGGTAGAATTCTGTCATTATCTGATAGTTTCTCCCAAATAGCTCAATGTTTTGAGTCTCTGTGCCAATTTGAGTATGTAACTCAATATTTCCACAGAATAAACACTTCTGTCTTCATCCTATGGCTGTATGATGTGTTTGTTTTTTTTGTATAGTAATCATCACTTAAAGCACTTAAGATACTTATGGGCCTATTTATATTCTTATGTCTGAAAGTTTTTGATAACTAAGCTTATTTTTTAAAAATCTATGAATTTATAGACCTTTTCCCAGAAGAAACTTAACTGTATTTGCATTTGTGTAATTCACTCATCCCTAAAAAGCATTAGTTGCATGGTTGGAATGTTGCAGCTGTTCAACAGCTTCAAGCAACACGAAAAACTTAGTTTTAAGACAGGAAACTGGAAAGAGTAGTGTATTTAATTAGAGTTTCAAGGGAGATATTGAAAAAGCACCTAAGTTAACTTGATCCAAGATTATCTAGTTAATAGCTCACTGATTAAAAAATATAAGCTGTAAAGGCACTCTATTATTAATTGCATGTATTAATATTTTTGAAAACAATTCTTCAGTTGGGCCATTGTATCCGTTTTTCTCTTCATTGATCTCTGGTAACCATTTACGTCTAATAAAGGAGAGAGGTTGCTTATAAATTAAGCCCCAACGGAATACCTTTTAAAAGTATAGCACAATTACATCATGTATTTACTAGAAACAAGGTATGTTTTAGATGGATTAGGGGTGGTGGGAAGGGGTCCTTTCAAAATTGTAGGTAATACATTCATAAAGATCTTTTAAATTAAATCAAAGTTTTCCACAGTTACCTAATAACATCAAATGTGATTTACCTTTATCTCTGATATACTTTCAGCAGTCATGTGGTACTTTTTGAAAACTTAAGCCATTCATTTTTCTGTACATATGTAAATATAAAAAGAAAGCAGCCCAACAGTGAAGATTCGAAGATATGAATGGAGGAAAAGTTTCTTACTGTGAAGCAACTTTCTCACTTATCTGTCTATCTATGGAAACATATTTTAACATATAATAATTTTCAAGTATCTTTTTAGGAGGAGAAAATGTTGTGAAGATTATGAGTAGCTTAAAGTTGTTATAATATCTGTATTATTGCTACACATGTAAGGAAAAACATCCTTATGTTGGCAGAAACCTGAAGTCATCTCCAGATTAAGTCTTTTGTTTTCTCTTTCCTCAATTATGATTTCAATGAATCAAGTAGTCACGTGATCCTATCGTTCAAGGAATATGCTGATCTATTAATATTTTTTAAAAGATAAGTGCTGTGAATTGTTAAGAAAATACGGGGTCTTTGCCTGTTTGTTCTTTTAAATGTAGCATAGAGAAAATATTAATTAAGTCCTCTAGAATCATTCTCTTTGACTATGGAAAATAAACAGTAGAAACTAAAAAGTTACAGAATCCCAGGACTGTAGGAGATAACTTATCAGAATCTAAAATCAATGTATATATTTGTTAGATAATCCAAACATGTCATCATGATGTATGTTTGAGCTAAACTATTTCATTTTTTGTAGTATTTATCAAGAAATAAATTATTTAACTATAATGGAGTCTCGACTTTTGGCTGGAAGCTTTTCTCAGCCCACAGGTCACCCATAGAAAGAACACAGTAACTTGCTGGTTACATTCGGGAAGGCTTAGAGACCTTCTTGCATATTCAAGTCTATTTAGATTATTCATTCTTAAAAGATAAATTTTTATAAAGACAATTTTGGTGAAACAATCCATGTCATGTGTATCAGAACTCAGTATCAAAAATTGTATAAATTTTCATGAATCCTAATATAGCATTTTATGTGATATTAGAGCCTTGAAAAAGAACCTTTTAATAGAGACTCAGCTTTGTATTTAAAAATTCTCAAGTTCTGTCAACTGATTCAAACATTTCTATTTAGTGTAGAAACCTAGAAACCTAGTGTAACTACTTGTATATCATACATTATTTTTCAATGTTCACACATATTTTATTTTGTAATTCATTTTTCGTTTACTATTTTTCATTCCTCTTCCACCATTTTAATTACTCAAACATTTTTTGACTACAAAGTCAGTGCTTACTAAAAGCTCAGGGGAAATAAAACAGTATTATATACATTGTTTCACACAGATTGATGTAAAAAACATTTGGTATCCTGTTGATTGAAAGAACAGATGCTTGTATAATTTATGAAGCCAGAAATACATTCACAATATCCTCCCAAAATAGTAAGGTATTCTAATAACCTAGTGAGGAATACAGTCAAAGAGCTTGGGAGATTCTAATTTGTAGACTGTATTTTCAATGGAGGATACAAACTTAAAAAGATATTATCAATATTCTATAAATACAATTACAACCACTCATTTTCCAATGTAACATGATACAATAATAAAATAGCATTTCATTGTTTCCTATAAAAATTTAAAAGCCTAGCATGTGTTTTTGTTTATTGTACATTTCAGCTTCCACCCACTAGCAAATTTTAATAATTTTTCTAAGCAAAGGAGTCTACTTTTTTTCATAACAAATATCCATCCAGTCAATTGTCCCAGAAAAAATGTTTTCTCACCAAAATTGCTTACTTTCTGTAACACACATATCACTCTTATTTTTCAAATATTAATTTATTATTAATAATGACAATAATATAAGTAGTGTAATTGATATGGTAGTGTTTATTTGGGATTAATTTTAAGTTATTTTGAATATCAGTTAACATATCTGTACTTTCTAAAATGAAGGATTAATCAACTATTAGTACAAAGTCTTGGATCAAGGGCACTATATTTCTTTGCTAAAAATAAACACTGCTCACCATGGCATTGGCACAATTTGTGGAAGTCATGGGGTTATACTATCACAGGATGGATTCTCATGAAAAAAACACATAGCTTCAACTATGCTTTGAATTTTTCATTACATTCATTTCACTTGTAACTTCACACCATCATTGTGCTTATTTCTATAAAAGAAGATCTTTTTCTATCAAAATTTTAAAAAGTTGATTATTTAAGTAACTTATTATTTATAAAGATTAGTTTTCATAGCTCAATATAATTTATCTGCACTATAAGCTCATAGATTTTGAAAAAAATTTTGTTATATATATTTTCTCTTTCTCTGTTTTCTTTCATTTTCTTCCTTTCTTTTTTCATTTTTCTGGTTCAAGAAGTCCAAATTTCAGAGCAAATAAACATTGAAATAATTTTCTAGTAGGCAAACCTCAAAATACTAAAAAAAAATGAAGATTGAAAAATTTTCAAAAATACAACAAAATTTAAAAACTAGTCTAATTCTATGTAGAGAGCCAATATCACACTGATTTGATTTAAAATAATTTATAGCATAAGCTCAAGAACAATAAACCATTTTGAAAAGTTATCGGGAATAATTATCTTGAATACACTATAGTCTTCATATTTTGCATTAATGTTGAATATTAAGACAGGGATACAGTAGGTTAATCAAGGGTTACTAACTTTAGGAGAGTTTAAGAATTATAACTTTCAAGTAGATATCAATCCTCTTTAGAGGAACCTGTCCTGGAAGCGTTCTCCCATCTGTCAGTCATTACCACCTACAAGGTAAGAAAGCCACACAGCAGAGTGCTATATCTTACTAGGAATATTACTATGGCATCGATTTAAAAATATATATGTTTTGAGGCTGAGAGAAAAAAACCTCTCTTTTTTTTTTTTTAGATTTTAGAGGTGGGAAAACAAATGTTTTTGAAGGAAGAAGCATTAGAATCTTAGGAGACCCTGATTTAATTTGGTCCCCTTAAATAATGGTATCCCTTATAAAACACCTATTATAAAGGATTATTCATAAATATATTGAACCACTGTATATGAGAATCATTTTATTATCTAGATTTTATTCAGAAAACCAAATCTCATGGAGGTTATGCAATAATGCAAGTGACTGGGAGATCCTGGGTTCAATGACTCAGTTCTATTTGCTGTATTTACTTATCATATTATGCTGCCCAATAATCTACACCTTTACATTTCTGCAATTCACATGCATAGAAAAAGCTTGTGCATACATAGTGTGCAGGTATACATGCTACTGAACAAAAACAGTTTAAACCAGCATGTGATAAGAAGTGATTAATTTGAGGAAAGTAATATAAGCAAAATATGTCAATAAAGATCATCAATAATAAGATCAATAAGCAATGGGAGATTACGAAAATGATATTCGTGTTGGAGTTACAATGATTCTTTTTAACTTTGTTATTACATTAAACTCTGAATATTTGTGTTTGTATGCAGTTTTTAGACAAGCAATACACAAACATGTATATCTGTAAACACTTATGAAACCAAACCAAAAAGATGAGTAGACAGTAAATCTCTAAATCTTTCCAGAGCTTAAAGCTGCTTTAAAACTTTTCAGTGTTCAGTATGTATCAATTGGACGAATTTTCCTATGGAAAACACTTTTAAATTGCTCAAAGTCTGTTTTGTAACAGAGACACAATGTCATATGTTTCTTATATGTAAATACAATTAACACGTATGTTAAAAACCAACCAATTTTTTTTCAATTACTGACAACTTTATAAAATACCGCAAATGTTATGCTGGAAACTCTTCCCTTCTCAAAAGGAAATTCACAAGACATTTTACAAAGTGAATAATGTAAAATTATTCCCACAGTTTTCTGGGGTGGAAAACCAGAAACGTTTCAGGCCCTTTGCTGTCAACAGGAGTAAGGGCTATCATTAATTACAAAGCTATTGGAAATATATTTGTAGTCCTCTGTGGGGTGCCAGTATTTCAGGAGTAAAAGATACCTAATTTGAGCCAAGCTTTGGCGTGACTTGCCCTGATTTTCCTTCTTTCTCAATGGAGAACCATGTCCAAGTGCCCAGCTTGGCTCTCCATCACAGTCAGTTTCTGACCTCTTTCGTGCTTTTGCTTTTACTACTGAAGCAGCAAGAAGCCCCCATAATTATAATTGTAATTACCTAGAATGAGCATTTCTGTGATAGGCACTGTAACTGCATAACTGGGAAGGTAATGGTGCCAGTGCTGAAGTATTTCTTGAGATTTTATGTCCAGACAGAGAAAGAAATCTAAGAAAATGGAGACAGATATAAGAAAGGGACCTTGGGACTTAGTTAAGTCCCAAAATACTAGTTAAGAGAGAGTTTTATTTATGACAGGTTTCAGAGGTAGTGTTATCTCCTTTGGAGGAGGAGGAAACAGCAATGACATTTTTTTAATGCAACATTTTTCACTTCTTCTGTTTTGAATAGATTCACTTCCATGACATAAAATAAAACTGACTAAACTATAAATCTATTTATGCATCCATGCCGCTCCCCAGATTTTAAAACTAAGTAGAACTGAGGATAAAATGTGCATGGAAGCAAAATCTCATTCTCTTTCATTTGTCCAGATCAATGACCACATGCCCAATTTAGGTCAAGGCATCAGGCAGAGGAATGGACTAGAGACTGACGTTGAGATGCTCTATTTCACACACTTGCCCTCTGGAAGGACTGGCAGAGGCAGTCACTTAAATTAAATACAGATCGTCAAACAAGATATATAATCTATTCCTAAAACAGACAACTTCAGCATCCCAAATCCCTATGGCTTTTTACTGAGGCGCATTGCACTACTTTTTTTTATGTTCCTCTGTCAATTCATGTTAGGGTTTGCTTTGTTTAAAAGTGGTATTTCATGTATTTCGTGACCCTCTTGCACAAAGCAAAAAAAAATGCTTTGGTTTATTTATGACCTACTAACCTCAAGCAAATACTTAATGTTCCCACAAGCCTAGGGATGAGAAGTGAAAGCTACAATAAATTTGGCTTGGATACAAATTAGATTGGTCTTATACTGCCCACACAAACCTCCAAAATTAGGAAGAAGGGGATAAGAGAATATTTATGCATAAATGACCCATTGCTTGTGGCTCTTTTTATTCAAGAAAAACTATGCAAGAATGCATACTGCTATCACCAACTTAGAATTCTGGAATTATGAACAATGTGCTCTAAGAAAAATGCCACTGTATACTTTCTTTCAGAAAATGTAAAATCTTAGTATATTATAGCTAAGGATTAAGTTGTAAAAATAAAGATGGAAAAGATATAGGATTAGAAAATACAAGACAGTAATTGCAAGACCACATGAGTTAGCAGAAAACTAAGTTGAACCAGGAAGTAGAACAACTTTTCTGTATTGGACGAAATAATTTAGAATACGGAGACTGAAGTTTACCATCTTCTCTGACACTAAATTTATTGGAAGCAAGAACATAGAGATCCTATTTTCCATTGTGAAGGACTTAAACTGTTAGGACATGAGGTTTTATCTTCAACAAACTATGACTATGGTTAGCCCAAGCAAAGGAGAAAGAATTAATCACTTTATTTATCATTGCTATTTCATGTGTAAATAACAAGACATTTAATGTAACTTACATTGTTACAAGTGAATCATTGTAAGATTTTTAAATTTTAAAATTAAATTAATGATATTTAAGGTGTTTTTTCTAAAAATATAAAAATTTAGCTTTAAGTTAATTATAGTCTTCCATAGACTTCTAGGAAAATATTCTGGAAAACAAAAGAAAACTAGTTACGTATTGTAATTATTTGTAACTGACCTAGAGCTTTGCTTACTGGTAGGCCAAATGCATTTTGTGTTAAGGCAAAATACATGGTTTAGAGTCGTTTATCACAACATCCCCATTATACAAATGTTAGCAGATGTAGCAAGAGATGAATAGGCATGATTGAAAACAGTTGTATATTGACCTGACAAATATACCACAATAGGCAGGCAACAGAACAAGAGTGATATGCTTTCAGTCGTAATTGATAATGCAACAAATGAATCCTAAGTCCCATGATAATATTCTTTCCAGCAGCCACACAGAAATGCCTACCGACAAAGCATTCTTCTAGAGTATTATTCTGAGGGAGAAATTTGCTTCTTTCAAAAAAAATTAAACACGGAAAAATTCAGATACATCCCTGTTTCATATTCTATGACTATTTGTCACTTCAAAGCTTACTACCAGTTGAGCACTAGCCCCTTTCTCTCAAAAAAATCTGTTAAAGTTTCCATGTAAACAATTTGTCTAAAATTATTAAACAATTATTAGCTTTAAAATATTCTAAGTGACTAAAATGTCAGAATGTAGAAAAATTTGGAATGTGTATTCACTAACATTTCAAAATAATTGCCTGGACTTGAATAATTATGATCACCTTCAAAGTAGCATTCCAAATTATTGTGGGTTAGCCTCCTACAGATAATTACTCCATAACCATATTAGATGCAAGTTAAATGGATGAAACAATGACTTTCTATTCTGGATTTGATACATCCAAGGTGACTTTTGTTTTAATTGATGGTAGAAAAATTATTGAAAATGGTTCTAAATATAAATTCAGTAGAGTTCATAATTTTAAAATAAGCATTAATGATAAAAACACTTAGAAAATAAGACTATGAAAAGGATCCCTCACTCGTCTACCCATAAAGACATGTTAGAAGATGTTAGCTGTTATTTAAAATAATTGAAATGAATGGTTTTGTAGCATACATAGATTGTCTTTACCTTTCACTGTATTAATGAAGTCTTTGTGCCATAAGCTAAGAAAAATGAATTGAGCTGGTATCTTCACTTAAAATTTGTTCAGTATTTTCTAAAGAAGATTATTCTTAGGAAATTATACTAATTTTAAAACCTTATTTTAAAATAAAATATATTAAATATTTAATGTAAATGTAAATAATAGCATCAACACTAATTTAGTTTGAGGAAATCTAAGGTAATTCTGCTTAATTTTGTATAAGCTACATACATAAATGCTTACCTCTTGTAAGCATAACAATATTTAAATTATAAGATATTGTTTGGATTTGATACCCCAAAGCACTTTGAATAACAAATTCTCCCTGTCTTTAACAGTGAGATAATTTCATCTCTGGAACTAAGCCAATATAGACCTTTTTTTTTTAGCTTCATGGAACCAATCCTTTTCTCTCATACAATGTGATGTGGAGGCTTGCCAAACTCTTCGTTGGAAGAATCAAGCTTCTTATTTGTCTTCTTTTGTATTCTTTTGAAATAGCATAAAAATGCATAAAATATATGATTAAAGGTACTCTTGTTTCTGTCTCCCATCCCCTTCAGATACTTACAGATACTGTAAAGTCAGCAGAATTCTGAGTTTTGAGGTTGCTTCAGTGAACATTCAACGCTGTCGGTGAGTTTGGAATTAAAATCAAAACCATCGACCGTTGATTGTACCCTATGGCTAACCATCATCTACTCCATGGCGCTCAGAATTTGCTGAAGACAGGAAACCAAAGTGGGACGCACCAGGACTTTCTCTTCCCTGTGCAGAGATTATTTTTTAAAAGGTCACAATCAACATTCATTGCTGTCGGTGGGTTGAACTGTGTGGACAAGCTCACTGAACAATGAATGCAACTGTGGCCCCGCTTTTTGCTGTCACAATCAACAGATATTCCATCTTTGAAAGATGTACTCGAAGTAGTAGTATTGTTCTCTAACTTCAGTGTCTTCAGGTTTCTTTATTCAATTTAGAGCCTGCAATGAGTTTCAATGAAAAAGGCACTGGTTTAAACACAAATAATACTTCTCTACCTTTTGTATGCTATAAACAGAGCATGTTTAGAAAAGGCAAAACTATTTTGTCCATCAAACATATAGCATCATCATCTAGGTTAGCTCACCTTCCTGCTGTTGTACTGGGAGTGAAAAGAAGACATGAAGAAGGTCGTCCACACCCATGTCATCGACAGCAGCAACACTTGCAAATATGTGTTCTCTACAACGTCCGTTAGATGTTCTGGTCAAAGTGGGGTAGAGATAAGAGATAATTTTATCTTTCTGCTTCTCTAGGTGAGAATTTGCTCATATAATACATCCTCTTGCTATGCAATGTGCTAAAGAAGAAGAAAATAATATATACATAACTATGTAACTATCAGAATACTTAGGACAGTCATATAGTCGATTGATTTTCCCAATTCAATTTCAACTTTAAAACTTTACCCACTTTCCTTGTGTCTCCCTTCTAAGAACATGATCTGCATGGTTAGACTTACAGTCACGGCCCATTAATTGCCTCATGTTTACTCTTCTGACTTTTTAAGTGAAAGCCTAGGCATATCATGGTTTTTCTTAAGTGGATTGCCTCTACATTTTTATATAGAACATTTGTAATTAAATTTGATCACAGCAGTTTTAAGTTTTCCATTTGTAATGGCAATAATTATATAGCAAAATAAAATGTTTCCTCGAGTGTGTATGTCTGGAGTACCCAGATGGCTTCAATGTTCATTTTTTTAAAATGGTCAAATACATTATCCTCTCTGTTCCTCGATCTCTTGAATCCCATTTGCCTTTAACTCCCATTACAGAAACTCATTCCTGGGACCCAGCTCTAGATTTCATCATAACCTTAAAATATTTAACCACGTGTGATATTTAATTTCCCACTCTTTTTATCACTTCTTACCTGGTTTCTCATCCTCTTATCCTCAAGGCAACTGTCCTCTCAGTGTCAGTGTTGCTGAAAAATAAAATCACATAATCACATGGACACATTAGTACCCATACTCAGAGGCCTCCAAATGCCTTGTTCCCTCCACTCTGACCTAGTATTTCTTCTTCTCCACTCCCTGGCACTTAGCTTAAGTGTCTACCTCTCCTTAACTGCTCCGTTCCACGATTCCACTTTCAACAAATGAACTGACTTCTCCTTTTCATTGAGAAGCTTGAGTCCATCTGATTATTCTCTCTGCTTCCTTATGTATAGCCTGTGAAGGCATAGGATTCTGCCCTGAGTTATCTCACGTGAGCCTCCTGTCTTGCTCAGGACGTCTCTTCCCCGTGATATCCCCCTCCTCTCTCACCATGTGACTCTTTCCATTTCACATGCAACAAGTTTCCATTTCCTCTCCTGTCAAATAGAAAACAAAGGAAATTTGAGAAAATCCTTCTCTATACTTGCTTTATCCTCAAGTTACTTACCCCACTTGTTTTTGTCTTTTTAAAAGTTAAGATTTTAGAACTAGTATGCAGTAGCCTGCAGCATTGTCCTTATTTGCTTACTTCCCATTTCACCTCAACTGTATGTAATTTGGCATCTTCTAGTATGTCTCTTTCCCACTTTTGCATAACATCATTCTAATGACACTGCTTTTCACCAAATCACCAGTGAGCTCCAAATTGGCAAATACAAATCGAAGTTTTCTGCCAGTTATCCCACTTGAACTCCTCTCGATGTCTGACACTATGACCACTTCTTCCTGAACTTCAGTCTCCATTCACTTTTATGATCCTACTCTCATTTGGCTTTCTCTCTTTATTACAGTAATATCCTATTTATTTATTTAAGAATCTCTTAATCTGCATAAACTCCCAATGCCCGTATCCTTCTGAGACACATCCTTAGCTTTCCGGCTTTCTTCTCTTCTCTTGTCTCACAATCTTTGAAGGAATCTCAGGCACGTGAATGATGTTTATATCTGCTCAGATGTGCTGGTACCCAAGTCTTTAGCTATAGCTTAGACATCCCAAACCTATATAGCTGTCTTCTGCTCCTCTCATAGACCCAAGCCCATCCATGACTGCGGATAACTTACCGTCTTTTTCCCAAGGGATACACCCTTGATCTACTTAGCCTCCAAAGCCATAAATCTTGATTCATCTCATGTTCCTGAACGTTGCTTCCTCTCCTTTTCCAAACATAATCGCACAGTCCTGAAGATTTCTTATCCTGCTTACATTTCAATTATTCTGTATACCACTGAACCTTAGCCCAGAAATGCACAATTCTTACTTGGACTATTCCAGTAGTTCCAAACTCCCTACCAACAGCCAGCCATCTGTTCAATATTTTCTTCACAGTATTTTTAAAAAGTGATTTTTAAAAAGGTAATCATATTGTGAAACCCTTGAATGCACCTGGAATAAAATGTTTAATAGATTTTTAATTTAAAACAAGAATAATTTTTAAAACTGCCAAATATAAATCAATAATATTCACAGCACCTTTCCTAATTTTTATAATCATTCTGATAGAAAAGGTGTTGTGAGTATTAGCTAAATGAGGAAAAAGTAACATCTAAAAAGTTACCTAAATGAGAAAAATTAATATCTGGAACTTCACATAATTTCTCAAGCTTAATTTCAGTATTTTAAGGAATTAAATGTAATTTTTGAAAATTTTCTAAAATAAACACAGTTGAAGATTTAATAACCTTGAAATGGTGAAGAATATTTTGAATTTTAACACAAACAGAGCAAAAAGAAAAGACAAAAGAATATATGGCTTTGACTACATTAAACTTAAAAGTGTAATGTGTCAAAAATCATCATATAATGAAAAGGCAGATGGCCAAATGAAAAAGAATATAAACAATAAGTAAGAAAAAGATTGATACACTTAATATATTATGTTTTTAATATAGAAAGAGCAGTAAGAAAAAGTTAACAACTAAAGAGACAAATGAATAGTGGACATGAACAGAGCGGTCACAGATGTAAAGCAAATGAGTGAGACATACATGATGCAAAATTATGCTTTACTTACAAAAATTCAAACTTAAAACCATGAGATGTCATATTTCTTTAGTAAAGCTGACTGATGAAGAAAATCTAGTGATAGTAACATGACTGTTCTCATACTATACTAGATATGACTGTCTTTGGTTTCTGCTCAAGCTTCTGGGCTTGATTTTTCCTGTTGTATTCGTTTCTTTTTTGAGCATGGAAACACACCCTTCCAACTAATGGCAAATGGGATCAGAAGTTCACACCTGTGCCAAAGAGACCTGATCCATCCATTTGACTGAAACTTTTATATTTTCATTCTTGTGAATTTGAATTCAAATAAACTTAAATCCTTCAAATGTAGAAGGTTAGTACAAGATGTATAATTTCATGAAGCTTTGGAATAGATTAACATTTTACTTTGTTTCTGTGTAAATGAAGTAAATAAAAACGGAAGATGGTCAGTGAGGAGCAGCTACATGAAATCAACATGAGATGTTTTGCAGTTCCCGGAGAGATGGATGAAAAAGCTTTAGTCCAGAAAGCTCCAGGTCCAGAAACCATTTTCCCAGCCATCTTAGTTCTGTTTTTTTTTTTTAAATTATTATTTCTTGATGGCTGTTTTGGGTATCCATAATAATTTTAATGGCTTGAAATAAGTCCTGTTTTATTCAGCTAAGAATGTTTTCTGTTCTTTGCCTTCATAACTACACAATGCTCATGAGAGTATGATCTGATGTAAACTTTATGGAAACAATTTCATCAATAATTTAGCAATGCTTATAGACTTTTAATCAATAATTGTATTTCTAGAATTCTCATATACATATTTATTTTTAATAGACTAATACTAATTATGTATGTTTGTGGGATACAATGTGAGGGTTTTTGTTTTTTGTGTTTTTTGAGGAGTTTGGTTCTTATTGCTCGGGCTGGAGTGAGATGGCACAATCTTGGCTCACTGCAACCTCCGCTCCCTGGGTTCAAGTGATTCTCCTGCCTCAGCCTCTAGTAACTGAGATTACAGGCACCTGCCACCATGCCTGGCTAATTTTTGTATTTTTAGTATAGACAGGGTTTCACCATGTTGGCCAGGCTGGTCTCAAAATCCACAATGTGATGTTTAGATCTATTAATATATTGTAGAAAAATTACATCAAATAATTAACATATGTACCATCTCAAGAATTTATCATTTTTTGATAGTGAGAATGTTAAGAATCTATTCTTTTTGGTGATTTTGAAATATACAACACATTATTAACTGTGGTCTCCATGAGATATAATAGAATCACCAAAACTTATTCCTCTAGTCTAACTAAAACTTTGCAAACTTTAATAAACATGTCTCCTTTCTCTGTTCCTCTTCCACTCTCCCAACCTCCAGTAACCACATTTTTATTCTCTGTTTCTATGAAATTCCATTTTTTTTTAGATTCTGTGTATAAATGAGATCATACAGCATTTATCTTTCTGTGCCTCCCTTATTTCACTTACATAATGTCCTCCAGTTTCATGTATGTTGTCAGGAATAACAGAATTCCCTTCCTTTTTAAGAATAAATAACTTTCCATGGTTTATATATACCACATTTATTTTCATCCATTCATCTATTGAACACTGAAGTTGCTTCCATGTTAGTTATTGGGAATAAAGTTGGAGTGAACATGAGATTGTAGATGTCTCTTTGACAAGCCAATTTTCAGTTCCTTTGGATGTATACCCAGAAGTGAGATTGCTGGTTCATATGGTGATTTTCTTTTTAGTATTTTGAGGAACCTCTATACTATTTTCCAAAATATTTATACTAATTATTTACATGCCCATCAACAGTATACAAGGGCTCTCTTTTTCTCTACATCCTCACCAACACTTCTCATTTGTTCTTGTTTCCTTGGTAATGGTCATTTTAACAGGTATGATGTGATATCTCAAAGTAGTTTAAATTTGCATTTACCTTCTGATAAGAGATGTTGAACATTTTTCTTGTGTATTTTGGCCATTTGTATATCTTCTTTTGGGAAATGTTTGCTGAAATCCTTTATCCATTTTTGAATCAGTTGTTTCTTTTCTTTCTTATTGAATTGCTTAAATTTGGATGCCTTATGGGGATCTTAACCCCTTACCAGATATGTGGTTTGGAATATTCTCTTCTAGTCCATGAATTATCTCTTCACTGTGATAATTGTTTCCTTTGCTGTAGAAAAACATCTTAATTTAATGCCATTCCACTTGTCTGTTTTTGTTTTTGTTGTTTGTGCTTTTGGAATCCTAGCCAAGAAATCATTGCCCAGACCAATGTTGTGAAGATTTTCTCTCTTCTAAAAGTTCTAGTTACAGGTTTTATATTAAAAGTCCTTTATCCATTTTGAGTTGACAAGAGTGTGTGGTATGAGATAAGCGTCCAATTTTATTCTTCTGCAAGTGGCTGTCCACTATTCCCAACACCATTTCTTGAAGTAATTGCCTTTCCCCCATTGTGTGTTCTTGGTACCTTTGTTAACAATCGATTAACCATAAGTAGTCGGGTTTAATACTGGACTTGCTTGTTTCTTTGGATGATGTTTCTGTTTTATGCCAGTATGATGCTGTTTTGATTGCAATAGTTTTATGATACATATTGAAATTAGGAAGTGTGATGTTTTTAAATGTATGTATGTATGAAGAGATTCAAAGCAGCATTATTTTAAAAAATTTGATTATAGCAAGCTAAACGTTCAAAAATGAGGATTGGGGCAATTTATTACAACATATCTTATGATGGAAAATAATAATAACTACATTTTAATTTAAAAATCCTGCTTATAATTAAGTAGAAAGTTCTCAGAACTTAGAGGATTAAATTCCAGCTTACTAGAAGAGTAATCATGGGAAAATTAATTTTCCTAAGCTTCAATTTTTTCAGCTATATAATTTGTATAATATTCCCTACCAGATATTATTGTGCTAAGGATAAATGGAATAATTTATGCAATGACTTTAGCATAGTACCTGACACTTAGTAAATATTTAGTAGTAGTACTAGTACTAGGAGTAGTAAACTCTATCCCTATATATGATGGTACCGCATTATGTAACAAGTTATTATTTTTCTTTAACTCTTAGTCCTGAAATTTTGACCATTTTCTATCATATCCATTATATCTTCTACATTGCTGATATAAAAACGTGTTACTTACATTCTGTTAGATAATGGTAAGCCACTAAATTATTTTTATTTAAAAAATGTCTTTCTCATTAAATTCCAAATGTATTTGCTTATTAAATAAAAGCCCTCTAGAGTACTTGAAATCTAATTCATACTAGCCACAGGGCATTGATGGCAACATTTAAAATTATTAAATGTTATAAAGCATGCATTTATTTAAACATCAGCAGCACACACACTCAGCATGATACAATGCTTTATAAAAGTGCTTTATTTAACTGTATTCTCATTTTAAATCTGAACATACACTCAGTTCCAAAATTTTAAGGTAAATAAACATAAGTAAGAATGAGTTCGTTTGAAATATTAAGTCAATTATGTACTCTTATCTTTTACATTTCCTCTGAAGGAATTTGAGTGCTTGACAGTTAAATAATATAAAGTTCATTGATAACAATTCCATTTTGTAGTATACTTTTCATGTACACTGACTTGAATTCATAACATAAAAAAATTAAAATGTTTAATTGACTTCTCATTTGACTTTGAATGTTGCCCTTGACTTTTCATAATGTACATATGCTATTATTACATGAAATTAATAATATATTATTATTTCTCTAACTAGATCAGTTATAAACTCTATTCATTTTTGAACAAAAGATAAGAAGGATCAAGTTATAACTCACACTCTAGGATCTGCTTTTAAGTAATATTAGGCAGTCATTGCCCAATGGTAGCATCAAGATATCATAAGAAAGGTATATAAAAAATTAAAATGTATTTTAAATATTTAAATGAATTATTATAGGTGGGTATGTTTTATCAATAATCTTTATTTTCCAGAGAGTCTGAAAAGAAGGGATACTCTAATTGCCACTTGTGATTTCCTTTCAAGACCAGTCATTAGCAAACTTGTTTAGTTAAAAATTTCTCTTAATTTCTGTCTAGATTTTATCTGAGAAAAATTTATTTAAATTTTCTCCATTTTTTTATTTTGTTTTAAGCTGACAACATATACCTCATTAATGTTTGAAAAGACTCTAAATCTTGGTTCAAAAAAAATTACAGCACAAGTTGTTCTTCACTTTTTATTTATATATTTTTGAGACAGAGTCTCACTCTGTTGCGCAGGCTGGAGTGCAATGGTGAGATCTCCACTTAGTGCCATCTCCACCTCTTGGGTTCAATCAATTTTCCTGCTTCAGCCTCCTAAGAAAATAGCTGGGATTACAGGCATGTGCCACCATGCCCGGCTAATTCTGTATTTTTAGTAGAGACAGGGTTTCACTGTGTTGGCCAGGCTGGTCTCAAACTCTTAATGTCAGGTTATCTGCCTTCCTCAGCCTTCCAAATTGCTGGGATTACAGGCTTGAGCCACTGTTCCCTGGACTATTCTTCACTTTTGATCAATTTGCAAAATAAAGTTAAATGGGATTATTATTTACTTTATTGAATTCACACAATGATATGGCTGCATGGTCTCCTTTCATCCTCACAAGAACCATTTGAAAAAGGAAATCCTGTTTTAAAGATGAGAACAAGATAATAATAATATGCCTGATGCCACAGAACTGTTAGAGTGATGGCTCTACGCTATAATATCTACTTTACATTCAACTTTTGAGAACTTAGTTTGTAATGAATAGCTGTTTCTAAGAAAAGAAGAATAGTGTATTCTTTTAAAAACAATAGCTAAGGTTTACTTATTTTTCACTGTGATTTAGGGCATTATAAACATGTGACCTAAGAACAAAGTTTATATTCTCAGACTACATATTTGAAAACAAGACATACCAATTTAGAAAGAAATTTCTACAAGTCAGAGGCTTTACCTGCTTTGTTTGCTGCTCTAAACCTGGCAACATCAACAATGTCAAGCACACAACAGGAGCTCAATAAATATTAGTTGAATGAATGAGTCAAGAATGTATCTATTCATAAAGCATATAATACAATGTTTTAGGTCCAATGCTGTGAGTCAAAGTTACGTTGTGGGTGTCTCAGAAAACTACATACAAAATCATGGCATTTATTTCTTGTGGAGTCATAGTATTTACTTATATATTTACCATATGTGAATTTACCTACTATATTTCTTCCTTCATTATAGAAGTAATTAATTTCTTCTAAGTAATTAATTACTTCCTAGCTAAGAAGTAATGTCAAGACAAACCATCATTGAATGAAGTAGAGACAGAAAGAAAGAAAAAGAAATAAAGAAAGAAAAGAAAGGAAATAAAGAGAAAGAAACAGAAGGAAGGAAAGAAGGAAGGAAGGAAGGAAGGAAATCCTCACCATAATAATCATAAAATGCCTTGAATAATAAGACACATCTTAGTTGCAGAGATGCTGGAATATGAAAATACACCTTAGAGTAAATGTAATACAGTATTTACCCTCAGAATGTCATCAGTGATGGCTTGCATTGTTTATATTAACAAGGAATACACTGAAATCTGAAAAAGTGATTCAAGGAAGAAGAGAAATGTGGAAAGATTTTGGAAATAATTTTAATTTTCTCTTTACCATTTGGCACAAATGAAATGAATTGTTTAACTTTACAACTATTTTAGGGACATTCAAGGGTTATTTTAGTTGTATGTGATTTTTGTCCTATGCATCGATCATAAAATCGAAGTTTCTCCTTGTCGTTCATGTTAGAATAACTTCTAGGTAAAATGGATTTTTCTTAATTTCTACAACTATAAATTATAGCTAGTTAGAAAGAGTAGCATTTATGCTGTAGACATATTTGTGTTTTTCCCAATTATTTATTTTACTTTACTCGTTACCATCACAATCGAATACAATTTTAAATGGTTTTAATCACATTTTCAAGTCCATTTATTCTTCCTGCTCCTTCTAAGAAAGCTAATTGTGAATATGCTGAGTTGCTTAAACAGCCCCTCACCAAGCAAATATTCCTGAAAAATCAACACCAAGTAATGGGAATAAAAGATTCTCTGTATTCACTGCCCGAGTCTCCCTAAACCCTGGACAGACAGCTTGGACTGGTGGACATTAAGCCTTAGCTAGTGGCGCCAAATCCCACAAAGCCATTTTTAAGATGCCTGGGTTACACTATCAATCCTCTTACCTTAGGCAACCCCCTCCTGCTGGTTAAGTGCTACCACATGGTTTACAACTGCAGGAAGGGATATGGTTTACAAATTAAAATTAGATGCAGAATTAAACTGCTTGAACACAGCAAAATAGAAGGGTAGTGGATGGGGTGGAGAGGGCGATTTGAGTATGCCAATGCTCACACACACCTAATTCCAAGATTTGGATTTCCATGAATTTCCATTAGAATTCTTAGGTTCAGCTTCTGTGTTCATTCCTGAGAGTCATTTTTAGAGCAGGAAACACAGACTCTGTCAAAGAATATGCAGCCCCATGAAAACGCAAGTTCAAATTATGGACTTTACAGCCATAAGAGATTGCTGAGTTAAATACCAGAGCTCCTTTAGAAAGCCAAGCAGAGTAATTTAATGACTACTAATGACATTTGTAACTTTTCAGGCTACTATAATAAGAGTAATCAGATCTCAGGCTGCAGGATGTAACCTGATCACCTGTGCTTTCCAGAAAAGAATTTTCTGTACACATCAACAGTATTGTACAGCTGGCCAAGCAAATTATTGGTAATGTCAGAAGAAAGGGGAGGACAGATAGCCTTTCTCCAAATCATTAAATTCCTTTTGCAACTGGTAAGCACATACTAATATAGCAATTAAGATAGATTCATCTGTATTATATCAAAAATACCAGCCATTGCCCCCAAATCTAAGAACTAAACAACTAGAAAAGAAAAAAGTAAGTTCACAACATGTACTTTTCTGGTTTTTAATATGAAGTCATGAAATCAAAAGTTATTTATTTATTCACTCAACAATTATGTGCTGGGAGGCCATTTATTTAACGGCAGGCTGCTAAGTGTTGGGGGAGATGCCATGATAAGCACATACTTACTACTTCCTGAAAGCTTGAAGTCTAGTGGCAGAGAAAGATATCAATCACACAGTTACCTAGAGAAAGGCCTCTTAAGTAAGGGTCTAGAGAATAAAAGGAACTGGGAAAAGTTACAGATTTTTACATGCTAGACCGGGAAATTCTTGGTAATGTTCTAATTAAGAATTGAAAAGCAGCTCTCTAGTTAAGTTGAATGAGTCTGAGGTCTATACATGGTTGGATAAAACAAATCTTAGTTTATTGTTTGGTAAAGAATCTTCACTTAGGTCCAGTAAAGGTTTGGTGTACTCAGGTTATTCAGAGTTCACGGTCTTTTGGCCAAGTGTGATGGCTCACGCCTGTGATCTCAGGACTCCGAGAGGTCAAGTAGGGAGGATCACCTGAGATCAGGTTCAAGACCAGCCTGACCAATATAGTGAAACCCCATCTCTACTAAAAGTACAAAAACAACAACAACAACAACAAAAGATGGTGTGGTAGTGTACGGCTGTAATCTCAGCTACTAGAGAGGCTGAGGCAGGAGAATCACTGGAATCTAGGAGGCAGAGGCTGCAGTGAGCCAAGCTCATCCTACAGCACTCCATCCTAGGTAACAAAACGAAACTCTATCTCAAAAAAGAAAAATTCATAGTCTTTTATGCGCTTCAACTGGTTAGAACCAGTTGTGATTAATTTAGTTTTGAGACCTCCTAGGCAGGTGCTGCATTCGTGGAAAATTTTCCACTTAACAGATGTAAATGGCAACTATGTTAACTGGTGAAGAAGTTAGGGGTATGGACTGAGGGTAAGGAGACAAAGAGCATCCCAGGCCGAGAAAATCACAGGTGCAGACACAATACGGAAAAAAGAAAGGCAGCTCAGGGAGAGCATAGAGACCCATATGATTTGGCTAGAACAGAGCCTGCAAGGAAGCTGCTGTTACACAAGGCTGAGGAGGTGGTCTATGCCAAAGCCACACAGAAATACATCAGCAATGTTAACATTTCCTCTGCTATCTTAAGAGCAATAGGAATCCAGTGAAAGATCCTTAAACATGTGATAGAAGCAAAGGTTGAAAGGTAGAGGATGATCTGGTTTATGTTTCAAAAAGTTCACTCTGGGACCGTGTGAATGTGGAACTAACAGGGTTTACTAGTTGAGCTGCTTATACAACATTTAGGAGGCAATTATTATTACCCAGAAAAGAGATGGTGGAATTCAAAACCGATGGTTCCAATGGACTGCCTGATTTTAACAGTGAAAGAGAGAGTGTCAAGGGAGATTATGATGAAGGTGACCAAATGTCAAACTGCACAATAATTCAAAAACCTAACATTTAACCCTTGATCCAAAGCTTTCCTGTCTTAAAGATGGTGATTGGCAACCTCTAAGATAGGCCCCAGTGAAATCCCCTCCCTTTGAGTGTGGGCTGGACCTAAAATGCAGCAGAGGTGATGGGGGCACTCCCAAGGTTAGGTTACAAAAAAAAAAGTGGTTTATATCTTGGTTGTTCTCTTTTACTTACCCTTGATCACTCTCTGTGAGGACAACCAGTGGCTGTGTCATGAAGCAGATTTTGTAGGGGCCCATATGGCAAGGGATGGAGGCCAGCCAACAGCCATGTGAATGAGCTAGCAAGCAGACCCTCCCCTACTCAAATCTTGAGATGACTGAAACTTGGACCAAAATCTTGATTACAAGCCTTATGAGAGATCCTGAGCCAGGAGAAGCCCAGCCAAGCCACGTCACATTCCTGACCCATAGACATGGTGAGGTGAGGAGCCTTTGTTCTTTTAAGCTGCTAAGATTCAGGGTGATTTGTTACACAGCAATAGATGACTGACTCTGAGAGCTTGCTGGCTAAGCAAAGAGTTTGTCCCCCCGCTTTTTTTTTTGTCACTGTCACTATATATTTTTATATGTCCAGATGCAGCTCTTTACTCTTTTTCACTATATTATTCGTTTTCGCTTTTCTTACTAAATTATTTATTAAAGTGTTATTTTACAGCAATCAGTATACAGATAGCTATACTAGAACATTCAAATGATTTCAGCTTCAATGGTTTAGAGATTGATAACGAAAAAAGAATTGAGACAAAATGTCTTTGTAAAGGTATCTGCTTCCATAAATTTGGCACCTTTAAAGAATGGAGAAGCTCGAATGCAATATATTTATCTTCTCTGTTTCATTCATTTTCAGTAAAAACTCTGGTTATATTGATTATAACTACCTTTAAGCAGGGCACAGTGGGTCATGCCTGTAATCCCAGCATTTTGGGAGGCCGAGGCAGGTGAATCATCTGAGCTCAGGAGTACGAGACCAGCCTGGCCAACATGGTAAAACTGCTTCTCTACCAAAACTACAAACACTAGGAGTGTGTGGTGATGCATGCCTGTAATCTCAGCTGCTAGGGAGACTGAGGCACAGGAATTGCTTGAACCCAGGAGGCAGTGGTCTCAGTGAGCCACAATGGCACCACTGCACTCCAACCTGGGGAACTGAGAGAGACTCTGTCCTCCCTCACAAAAAAGTAACTGCTTTCAGATTACTGTTGTGATTATGTAATGATAAGAGAAAGAGTTTTGATGCATCTCATTCGTCATATTTGGCTGCTACTAAATAAGAATGCACAATGGCTATACAGAAGGTATGAAATTATTTCCATGAAAACTTTGCACCCTGGATACACCAGAGCCTCAGTCTTCAGAATTCCCTCCCCATCTCTACCTTCCCCAGAGTGTTTCTGAAGGGTGCCAGGAGACTTTACAAACCCAGTTAACCTGCACACTGCACTAGCCATTTTCTCCATTTGTCTTTTCTTTTGAATTATAACTGTTCCCATTTAGCATCACCGTTCTTTTGACTGCATGTAATCACAGCCAGCCGGCACTGCTTTCTCCTGCAGGCAGAGCAATCTCACTGGGAAACAACAACGTGGCTGCCAAGATCTGCCATTTCTGGGTCCCCTCACTCCCCTGGAGTGCTGATTCAAACTGCCAGAGCTTCGCCATGTAGAGAATTAGGAATTTCTTTCATTTGTCAAGTTAACACTCTGGTAAAATTACATTTCCCCCCAATATTATATAAAGTTTTAACAGAGTGATTCTATTTATTTAGGAAATCAAGCATAAATCCATAAGATGGAACGAACAGACCCATCTACAGGCCAAGCACCTTGCTAAATTGAAATCAGCCCCTTATTTTGACTAAGGTTTCATGATTGGGCTAAATCTAAATACATTTGTTTTTGTTTTCTTTTTTCTTTTTCTTTTTTTTTTTTTTTTTTTGAGACGGAGTTTCGCTCTTGTTACCCAGGCTGGAGTGCAATGGCGCGATCTCGGCTCACCGCAACCTCCGCCTCCTGGGTTCAGGCAATTCTCCTGCCTCAGCCTCCTGAGTAGCTGGGACTACAGGTACGCGCCACCATGCCCAGCTAATTTTTTGTATTTTTAGTAGAGACAGGGTTTCACCATGTTGACCAGGATGGTCTCGAGCTCTTGACTTCGTGATCCACCTGCCTCGGCCTCCCAAAGTTCTGGGTTTACAGGCTTGAACCACTGGTCCCGGCCTGTTTTTGTTTTCTTAGATGAAGCTGCCTGCATGAAGTTTATCAATTCTTCATACAACAGATTCCTGGGAAAAATTGGCCAGATTCATCTAAATCACAGCAAAGGCAACTACTTGGCCTCTAACTCCAAAGCAAAATAATAAATAATAATATATATGTGATAGTAATAATATATATAATAGTAATAATACTAAAATAATAACAAAAGTAAAATAATAAAGGCAGAACTCCAAAGTAGAATAATCTTCTGTCTATTCTTTATTACTTCCTACTAACAACGGCAGCAATAACACATCACAAATTTTAAAATGTCAAATGATTTCACGGAAAAAACACTAGGCCCAGCACAGTGGCTCATGCCTGTAATCCCAGCACTTTGGAAGGCCAAAGCGGGCTGATCATGAGGTCAGGAGATTGAGACCATCCTGGCTAACACGGTGAAACTCTGTCTTTATTAAAAATATGAAAATTTAGCCGGGCATGGTGGTACACACCTGAAGTCCCAGCTATTTGGGAGGCTGAGGTAGGAGAATCACTTGAACCAGGGAGGCAGAGGTTGCAGTAAGCCAAGATTGCATCACTGCACTCCAGCCTAGGCAACAGAGCAAGACTCCATCTCAAAAACAAGAAAAAGGAAGAAAACACTAAAAACACTAAATTTAAAAGTTGGAAAACGTGTCAGCCCAGTCTTACCATAAACCACTTCTTTGATGCAAGTCAGACTGATATTCTTCCAGAATCGTATATGACAATTAATTTTCTTATCTCCAATTGAAGTCTCTGGAACACTTGATCTCTAAACTCTCTTGCAACTCAAGATCTCTACAATTGAATTGAGAAAAATTTGGCAAAATTATATAGCAAAAAAATATATAAATGTTAGTTAAAAACTTTGTTTTCCATTTGTTTTTATTGATATGGGAATTTTTAAAATGCAAATCAATTTTTAATCACATATCTGTTTATTCAACTAAGTTATAAAGCAGAGGTAAAAGCATTTGCCGAGGTGCATTAATGATCAGGTTGATCACTTTAAAATATATAGCTGAGATGAGAAAAAAATAAAACTTCAAATAAAATAGAAAATACACATTAAGGCAAGAAAAGTATAAAAAGTTATGCAAGAATGCCTGTAATCCCAGCACTTTGGGAGGCTGGGGTGGGTGGATCACTTGAGGTCAGGAGTTCAAGACCAGCCTAGTCAACATGGTGAAATCCTGCCTCTACTAAAAATACAAAAATTAGTTGGGTATGGTGGTGGCCACCTGTAATCCCAGCTACTCGGGAGGCTGAGGCAGGAGAATAGCTTAAATCCAAGAGGCGGAGGTTGCAGTGAGCCAAGACTGAGTCATTACACTCCAGCCTAGGCAACAAGAGCAAAATTCTGTCTCAAAAACAACAACAACAACAACAACAAAGGTATGAAAGAAAGGACAATGAGAAAAAAGGAAACAAATGTAATCTGGATGTTTCCATTTCTTTGTTCCATTTCTATTCTACTCTTTGAGGAAGTGAGCAGCAGGTTGTGGTTTCTTCATGTTTTCCTTCACACTAGTAATTCCCGATGAGATGTCAATAAGATTCCAGGCCAACTGAAAAAGAAGGGAAATTGACAAAGACTTCTGATTTTTCACATTGGCCTCAAACTTAATTTCCAATGCTTTTATACTAACATATTTTCCTAAGAGCACCCCAAATGTAAATAAAATATGCCAAATGTTTATGCATGTAAGCAACCAGGAAAGACAATTTTATTGCTGATTATTTATTTGATCTTGTATAGTGTTTGCATGGGTACTAAAGGTCTCTCTGAGTAATAGAAACACTGTGTGTCTTGTATGATGTTTCACTCAATGCTGTCAGAAGGGAATGCCAGGCATTAGGAACACCATGACTTTCTGATTCCACAAGAGTAACTTAGTCCTACTTGCAAATCTTCACTGAAATGGTGAAATGAAAGTAATAGCAGAGGAAAATTGACAAAACAGGGAAGGGTACTATTTATATTCCAAAACCTTTTAAGAATTCCTTCACTAAATATAGGAAAGTGAGCCTAGATAGAGGGACAGGCTGGCATCTGCATATGTTGCTGATAAAAATGCAAAGACTACAATCCAGATAAAAGAAAATTTGGCACCACCTAACAAAATTATAAATGCAATAGCTCTTAGATTTAGCAATCTCACTTCTAAAAATGGATTCATAAATCTACTAGAAAAAGACATAAAATGACATATATGTAAAAGTTAATTGTTGTAAGATCATTAAATAGAAAAAATACTTAGAAACAACCCAATGGCCATCAACAGGGTACATGATGAATAAATGATCTCACTTTCTTCTAATAAATCAGCAGGACATATAAAAAGAAAGATGGAAAGTTACAAGTCACCATCTAGTGAAACGGCATGATCTCCTGGATGGTTTGTTAGTATTTGGCAAGACAAACTAGATCAGAAGACTGTATATTGTATACCACCTTTGTGTGAGAAGGAGGTAGGAATATTATAGATTAGAATATATTTGCAAAAACGAACACTAGAAAGATAAAAACAAACAGGCATGGTGGCTTGTGCCTGCAATCCCAGAATTTTGGGAGGCTGAGGTAGGTGCATCACTTGAGTTCAAAAGTTCTAGACCAGCTTGGGCAACATGGTGAAACCCTGTCTCTACCCAAAATACAAAAAATAGCCAGGCATGGTAGCATGCATAGTTTCAACTTCCTGGGACGCTAAAGTGGGAGGATGGATTGAGCCCAGGAGGTAGAGGTTGCAGTGAGCTAAAATCATGCCACTGAACTCCAGCCTGAGTGACGGAGTCAGACCTTGTCTCAAGGGAAAAAAAAAGGAATGACTGTCTACAGGTGAAAGGGAAAAGGGAAAAGGAATGGAAATCAGACTTACACAAATCTGCCTTTTATATATATTTTCAAGCTTATAAACATATATAGTTTATGTGTTCAAAAATTATGTAATTTTTTGTAAATTACATAATTTTTTGAATATGTAAAACATATTTTAACAAGCTAGAAAACATACTCTAAATTCAGAAATATTAAAGACGCAATTTGATATTTGAAATGGTTGAAGCTGCTGCATATCCAGTTGGTATATACAGAAAAAATAATTTCTTCAAGTGACTTTGTATGACATATAATATTCTTATGATTGTGCTGCTTTTGCAGATATATTCTAGGTGCACATAGAGTCATAAATAAATGTTGAATTTCATTCAATGGTTTAATTCTTTAGTAATGTTAAATATATTATAGGATAATGCAAACACAACTTAGTAGTGCATAAAAATGTTAATGTTATTAGAATTAAAATTTTAAGTGAAAAGAGATGCAAACATAAGATCACAGAAACTAATTAAAAATCATGTAATTGCTATATTTTAATTAGCAATTATCAACATAACCACATCTTAAAAAACAAACATATATTGCATTCCCAAGTTTTAGCTACAGCAAAAGCATAGAAACAATGACAATCTTGCTAAATTGTGTTATTCATATTATTTGTTCAGGTCATTCTCTATTCCTTTTTACTAGACTACGTTCTGCAAGGCTCCCCGCAAGCTCCTTCCCATTTTATAGTAGTAGCAAACTTGCCACAAGGTGGGAGACAGGAAGGAAGTTAGAGAATAGAAGTTCAGAAACATCTATATTCTCATCTGAAGAAGTGAGGTACAAAGATATAGTGTCAGTAATGATGGAAGAAAAAACAGCGGTTTAGTATTAATATACTGTTTAAAGCTAAAAGATTACCAATAGGGAAGCCATATACTAAAACATGTAGAGGAGATAGAGAGAATCATAGCAAGAAATCAATAAATTATGCTTGAAGTGAAAAAAAAATTTATTATTTAAAATATAGAACAAAAATGATAAAATATTAAAAAGTGGCTATTTGGCTATTTCTGAGAAGTGATACCAGAAGAAGAGAATATAGTTTCATTTAGGAAACTTTCTATATGCTTTGATCTTTTTAAATTATGATTACATATAATTTCATGAAAAACAATTTTTAAAACAGAAAATGAAATTAAACGATTGTAAGCTGTGTTTTACTAGTTTTCAATGGGAACAAACCCATTAATTTAATGACCTATGTTGTATAGTTTTATTTACATTAATGAAGGCAGCTCTTCTAGTCCCCATTACCCTCCATTATGAAAATTATTTCAGGAAGTCTCTAAGGTATTTCAGATCATTCCAGTAACAATTATGTCTTCTATATGCACCCATTTAAAGATGCTTCCTTTTGAGTCCTGTTGTCAATATCAACAATGCAGGTTCTGGGGCCCTTTCCAGGGCTGCTGTTGCCAAATTGCAAACTCAGACTCTGACTTAACAGATTGCTGAGAACCAGAAGCTCTCAGGATGTAAGTGGGGTGGCCGCTCTTCTTTCCCACCCTGTCACGCTCAACCGAAAGTCTCAGAATTTTCCTTATAAAAAAAATATTCCTTCAACTTCTGCTTGCAGTCCTTCTCCCCATGAAGCTCAGGGAGGAATCTGAGGGGTCAGGAGGGGACTCCCAGCAGGCACTTCTCTGACTGTTCTATATGCTGCTTTCAAACCTGAAAGATGGCAAGGCTGGGGCTGGCCTCAAGCACTCGAAAGCTGCCAGAATTCACGGGTTCCCTCATTTCAGTTTCTTCTTTCTGATTGGTTGTATTGCTTTCAGACACAAGTTCTCTACACAGTAGGTACTGAAACCACCTTTGCAAAAGTTTACGACAGCAAGAGACGTGTAGCGTGGCTGACTCCATCTTGTTTCTAGCCTCACAGACTGGTTGTCCTTGCTCATTCCTGGGCTTAGGTCAAGCTAACCTTGGGAGGAACTTACTTTGACTTAAGTTTAAAGCTATGATGATAATAGTTCCTCCCTAAAACCGATCCCGTCCTTGTTCAGGGATGGAAATCACCTTAGTAAAACCAGTGAACGACCATGAGATTAAGATTATGGGAGAGGCTTGAATTCTGCCAAAATGGAGGTGTACCTAAATGATTACCAGCCATTTGTCCTTAGTTTGCCTTTATATTATATAACCCCTTGCTGTTCAGGTAGCCTTGTGGTCAGAGGTTGCAATATCTGTGACTTCACCAACTGTTCCTATAGATAATATCACTTTTGTAAAACCTAAGATTTATTTATTTATTTATTATTTATTTTTGAGACAAAGTCTCAGTGGCTCGGGCTGGAGTGCAGTGGTGCAATCTCAGCTCACTGGAATCTCTGCCTCCCAAGTTCAAGTAATTTTCATGCTTCAGCCTCCTGAATCGCTGGGATTGTAGGCACATGCCACCATGCCCAGCTAATTTTTGTATTTTTAGTAGAGATGTGGTTTTACCAAGTTGGCCAGATTGGTCTTGAGCTTTTGACGTTAAGTGATCCACCTACCTTGGCTTCCCAAAGTGCTGGGATTACAGAGAGGTGTGAGCTACCGAGCCTGGTCTTTTGAGATAATTTTCCAGCTTCTGCATTCTGGCAACACAGTAATTCCCATCCAGAGCAGGACTGAACCCGTCGTCCTGTGGCCCCCATCCAGAGGTGGATGCAGTGCATGAGGACCATCCTCCACATCCCTGTGATTTCACCTGCAGCCATTCAGCAGCACCTGTTTCCTAGCCCACTGCCCACCAAATTATCCATAAAAATCCTAGCCTCTCAGGTCCTGGGGAGGCTGATTTGAGTAAAAACACCAGTCCAACTACTTGACCAGCTCTGTGTTAATTAAACAATTTCTCTACTACAATACTGTGGTTTGGTGAATTGTTCTTTTCTGTGCAGTGGTCAGGAGGTACCAATTGGATGACTGCAATATACTGACCACGTAACTACGTGGTCACGTCTGCCAGCTTTGCAAACAGATGTCCAGCTTTGCAAACAGAATGGGACTATGAATGGCTCATAATGGACTCTAATTCTAACATCTTAGGACAAGATTCTGGTTAATGAGGAGATACAGGCTGATCAACAGTCCCAATGTGGTTGGCTAGGTAGGCAGGATAAGATAAATCCACAGTTACCCTGACTGAAAGCTTATAGTGCAGAGTGTGGAAAGAATCATTTTCTCAGAATGGCATGGCATTCAGAGGATGGTGTTAGCTCTCTACAGGTGAAGCATATTCTGGTACAGAAAACAATCCAGGTGCAACATCATGGAATGGTTCTGTGTCCCCCTTAGAAGGCATAAATTGAGTGCTTTTAGGAGAACTTCTTCCTAGATAGCAGAGATGTTTGTGAAGATGGTGTAATTTGAGATCAGTAGAGTCAGAACTATATTCATCCTCAGTCCTATTACGGAGCTTAAATTTCCATTTCCATTTAGTTAGTTTTGGTTTGAGTAAAAACTGTTTTTAAATGTAACCCAGAAATGAGGGTCAATTAGGTAAATTATAAGTTGTCCCATTATTAGCTGTTAATAACTTTTCTCACATTAGTTTCTTAGATGAGTTATGTAGTCATGGAAAGGCTTTGGTGGAATGCGTTATAGCAGCAAGAGAATTTTGATGCCTGTTTTCATGATGCAGTGCCTACTGCAAATATCAGACAAGGTCTAAAATTCTATGAAAAACAAATCATTATCCTTAGAAAGAAGTAATTCAGAACACATGAGACATACGGTAAGGCCCGGGATGAACAGACTGGCTATGTTCCCACACGTCAAGCTTTGAGTTAGACTCTCAGGTTGGAATTCTGCTGGTAGGAATTTGGACAAGGTACTTCACACTCTGATTCCATTTCCTTGTTTCTAAGCTATAAGCAGTTTTAAAACTGACTTCATAAGGTTGCTGGAGTTTGAATGAAGCATATGTATACATATGAATATATAAATAAAAATATGTAAATTATTTAATAAATAAAGAATATATAAATAAGAATATAATATATATTTTTATGTGAATAAGAATTTATATAAAACACCAAGCGGTGCCTAGCATAAGACTTGAAAAATGTTAGTTATTATTATTAGCAGGAATCTTAAAAACTCAGAACCAGTAAGTTTCTGGAAGTAATGGGTAAACTAAAGAGGAAGAAAGAAAAAGAAGTTCGAGGGTCTGAAGAGACACTAATGGTAATATTTCAGTTCAGTGTGCCATTACTGTGTGTCAGCTCAGTGACTATAAAATTGGTCTGGGTCCTCTGACGCCCAGAGCTTCACAAGCATATTTTGAGATGGGATTTCAAGGCTTTTTCCACTTTGTGGGATGATTCCCTCCCTCTTTTTTCAGGGGATAGGAATTGTGCTATAGCGAATCATAGAGACACGTGCGCGCACACACATACACGCACACCACACAAGCACACACACACAAGCAGGTAGACACACGGGACTTGGGATCATAAGATGAAGATGTAAATTTCAGCTTAACCCTTAACAGCCATGATCTTGATCCTTTCACAAAGCTTTTGGGTCCATAGTTTTCTTATCAGTAAAATGAAAAACTAAATACATATCATTTATTTGTAAGGGCTTTTAGTCAAAGATAATCTTAGCAAGAGGCTCTTTGTATACAATTGATAAGAACGATTCTTCTTTGAATAAAATGGGGGAGACAGCGGAGTCTTGAAAATTCATATCTCCTGTCTTTCCTTGCTAATCCCCTAGGTAGTTAGATACTGGACAAGAGGACTTCACAGGCCGTTTTCTGTTTTCAGTCAAGTGTTTCCACTACGGTGCTCTCTTCTTTGAACTAAAATTAACTATAGAAGTTGTGTACTACATCTTTTTCCTCTTCTGTGGAATGACTTTACATTTTGCTGTTTTCCTACTTGAAAGCTTCTTAAAATATAGCTTTATGTCTTTACCAGGCATGAGGGCACATACCTGCTGTCCCAGCTACTCAACAGGCCAGGAGCTCAAGGCTGCAGTGAGCTGTGTTCGCATCACTGAATCACTGTACTTTGGCCTGGGTAACAGAGTGAGACACTACCTCTAAAAAAAAAAAGTCGTAATTTATTTTCTCTTATTTTATTTATTTTTGAGATGGAATTGCACTCTTGTTGCCCAGGCTGGAGTGCAATGGCACAATCTCTGCTCACTGCAACCTCTACCTCCTAGGTTCAAGCGATACTTCTGCCTCAGCCCCCCACTTTGCTGGGATGACAGGTGCCCGCCACGACACCCGGCTAATTTTTGTGTTTTTAGTAAATATGAGGTTTTACTACGTTGACCAGGCTTGTCTCCAACTCCTGACCTCAGGTGATCTACTTGCTTTGACCTCCCAAAGTGCTGGGATTACAGGTGTGAGCTGCTGCGCCTGGCTTAACTGATTTTAAATAGAACAATCAGTAAACAGCTACCAGGAACAATTTTAAAGTATGATGAAAGTAGAAATGTGTTCGTATTAAGCAATCATTAATAGGTCACTCTCAATAATCATGGATTGCTTTTAGTTTTATGGCCTAAAAGTGGTCAAATGTCTCATTGCTGACAAGAAAAAGCTTTCCTTTTGTAACTCATGTTAGTAGATTTCATTACATTTATCACAACTATAGCTAGCTTATGTTCAGGTTTCCAGTATTTGGTAGATGAAACCAGGATTTGAAGTCAAAAGAGCTGGTTTTACATCCAACTGTTACCACTTACTAGTTCTATGAAATTTAACCAAATTCTTAAACTTTTAGAGCCATACGTATAGCTAAATTATGTTCTCCACTGTATTCAATTGGTTTTTAGAACACTGCACTTTCTTTTTTTTTCTTTTTCTTTTTGAGACAGAGTCTTGGCTCTGTCACCCAGGCTGGAATGCAGTGGTGCGATCTCAGCTGACTGCAACCTCCATCTCCCAAATTCAGCAATTTTCCTGCCTCAGCCTTCTGAGTAGCTGGGATTGCAGGTGCGAGCCACCATGCCTAGCTAATTTTTGTATCTTTAGTAGTTATGGGGTTTCACCATGTTGGTCAGCCTGGTCTCGAACTCCTAACCTCGTGATCCGCCTGCCTTGGCCTCCCAAAGTGCTGGGATTACAGGCATGCGTCACCACGCCCGGCCAACACTGTACTTTCTTGATCATCCTGTTAGTTTATCCTCTGTGTCCTTCGCTATGCCTTTCAACTGTCTTTGTTGGTCCTGCCTCCTCTTTCCCACCTGTCATCATTACGGTGCTCTAGGACCCAGATCTTCATAATCTCATCTTCTCCATGTGTACCCATTCTCAATAATCTCAACCAGCCCAAAGCCTTTGCATGATACCTATATGTCAGTAATTCCCAAGGTAAATCTCCCTTGTCCCTAACTCCAGACTTATATGTCCAACTACATATTTGACATTGCCACTGGAATGTGCACTAGACATACTTTCAATATGCCCAAAATAAAAGTCCTTGATCTTCCTCCACAAACCTCTTCCATGTACAATCATTCTAACCTCAATTTAAATGACCCCCTCATCATAGTAGTTTAGGCAAAAACCTTAGGGTCAGCCCTTTCATCACCCCAATCAAGACACTTAGTTATTGACTATTCCCGACAATGGACGGTTACCATTACAGCCAGGGCCACCATCCTGTCTGTCTGAATTGCTGCAATAGAGTCTCACCTCATCTGTCCTCTTCCTTTGGCTCCTAGCAGTCTCTTCTTCCTGAGGCGGGGAGAGAAATCCTTTTGAAATGTAAATAGATCGGATGATGTCACTCCTCTCCCTAAAGCCAGCAGTGGCCCCCCTTTTACACAGAGAAAGAGAGGAAAGTCCCTGCAATGGCCTCCCAGAACCCATGTGACCCTCCAGCTTCACCTTCTATGGCTCTTCACCTCATATATTCCCTTCTAGCCCCATTGGCCCCCTTGCTGTTATTCTAATAGGCCTTCTCACAGGACTGTCATACTCCTGCCTTTTCGTCTTGGCACAGGATAAGCCCTATACCTGCAGCACCTTCATAGACATTTTTTGTCTCTTTCAGGCCTTTGACCAAATACCAGCTTTTCAGTGAGACCTATACTGGCCATGCTATCTTATCAGACAAATTGTTTTCCAAACTGTCTCCCAAATTTCTTATTCTATAACATTTAGCCCTTTCCAATATATTACACAATTAACGCAATTTTTATGTTTATTAAATGCATGCATTCTCTCTTCCACCACTAGAATGAAAGTTCCTTGAGTGGAGAGATGTTTGCTTCTTTTTTTTTAATTTTTTTTGAGACAGAGTCTCCCTCTTTCACCAGGCGAAAGAGTGCAGTGGTGCGATCTCAGCTTACTGCAATCTCCGCCTCCTGGCTTCAAGCAATTCTCCTGCCTCAGCCTCCCAAGTAGCTGGGACTACAGGCACACACCACTACTCCCAGCCTGGCCAGGATGGTCTCGATCTCTTGACCTCATGATCCGACTGCCTCGGCCTCCCAAAGTGCTGGGATTACAGGCATGAGCCACTGTGCCCAGCCAATGTTTGCTTTTTTAATTGATTCATCCCAACGCCTAGAATAGTGCATGATACATAGCAAGAGATGAATAAAATTTTAGTTAACTGAATGAATGAATGTATATTTTGAAGTGATTTATGAGTCTTAAATAAAATAATCCAAACGACAGCACCTACACTGAATCACTGAATGTATCATTTTAGTCAGGTAAAAATAGCTTCCTATACAAAGTTCTATATGAATTATGAGAGCAATGGAGTTAAAATAAGGAAACTTAATTTGAGGGATTTTTTTTTTAATCAAATCCCATGCTTGTTTGCATGATGATAAATTTTTGGTATAAAAAGACTATTCATGAGCATTTTATCAAAATGAGATTGTTGTATAGTCAGTGTCCCACCTAGTGGTAAGCAGCACATTGCCTTAGCTGTCTTCAGGCTTTTTCTGAACTTATAATAAGTGTCGCCGGAGAAATCACTACACTTTATTTTGAAGGTTTTTAAGAAGTATCACACATGTCTCACAGATATTTCATTAAGGGACTAACGAATGAAATGGTTCGCATTTTATAACTTAAAAGAAATTCTCTTGAAGTCAGAACCTTAATACCTGTGATGAGCAAAGCTTGTGAACTCACAGGAATCATCATAAACAGCCCTTTTGGACTTTGCAGGTCTTTGGTTTCCAGGTTGGAAATACATGGTTACTATTTTTGGCATACGCAAGACTTTTAAGAATGAATCAAATTTCTGTGTTTACTTTAGGGATTAACATATACAGGCAGGGCAGATAAAAAAGCTGTAAAATCTTTGCAATTTCAATAAAAAGACACAGAAAAACTTTATTGTTTTTTAATTATTATAGCTATTTGGTGCTGATAGCACAGATGAAATCAAAACGTGGGACACAAGATGCTAGTGGAAAACACCTTACTGGGTTTTTTGTTTTTGTTTTTGTTTTCATAAAAAAAGAACATTTATCATGTGTTTGAAGGGTAGTGAGTTAACAAGGCTCCAGTGCAAACCCTACCTAACCGTGGGCTGGAAGGTTTACAGCAGTGTCACTTCCAGCTGCCAGCAGGTGCTGCTCTGGGTGTCAGGCTAAAGACGCGATTCATTAAGTTCTGCCACTCCAGTACTGTACTCTTTATGACAAGAAAAACAAGAAAGAACAGTGAGTCTCTTATATTTAACCCATAAAACTTAACACTCTGACCTCAATCATATAAACCAGAAGTGAAAGAGGCAATTGCAAATCTGACCAATAAAACTGGTAAAGCACTTACATGCCAGGAGTAGAATATATGTCTCTGTGTATGGGAAAAAGAACAATCTGCAAATTCCTCTGGTAGGTGGTACCACAACTGGTGTAGTCCATATCCTCTGCAGCATTTGAGATGTGTTTGTGCACACTTGGTAGGCTACTGGGTGGTCTCATTGTGAGCTCAATTACACGCTGGAGTGGGGAAGCCTCGGGGTAGAAAGATAAGTAAGAGAAGAGCCACTCCCCTAAAGCCTCTGTTGTGGGGAGAAAGTCGAATCTCAAGTCTGTTCATTTCCTTCTCCATGTCAGGACTAAAAAACCCATTTGTGTCCTAGAAAGGCTTTTAAAGTAGACACGAGAGAACTATTTTGTACTAAAACCCAGACATAGGGCACAAGGCAATGCTGTTTTGGAACAAATGCTAAAGCACCAGGGTATAGGAAAGAAACTTCCAGGCCTCCAGCAAACACGAGGCTTTGGTGCACAGGAACCTCAGCTTGTTCTCCTTTGTGCAGGTGGAACATGGCAAATGATGAGTCTCTTTATCTTTACATGGAATAATACAAGAAGGTCCACCACTCCCATAGTTTTGCTGCATTTAGGGCTAGAATAAATCCTTTTAAGGTCCCTTTTTTTGTTATTTTGGAAGAGGTGGGGTGAGGAGATGGAGGACAGGGAAGAAGACTCTTGCTGAGAAAGAGGACCTGGTTGATGCTTCTTTTGTTTAAGAAACTCCAGAATGTGTGCTTGGGTAGCTCTGAGTAGTTTGAGGTAAGTGGTGATCCTGTCTTTCTAAAAAAGTCACTGGTAGATAGAGCATAAAAGAAGAAATCTTTAAGGAAACAGACTCTGAGAAGTTGGTCAGTGAACTTCCAGGTCTTTTAAACATCAATAAATTACAAAAGTTTCTTCCTGGTCAAGGACCAAGGACTTGATCAGGAAGAAATTTTAGTAATTTATTGATTTTTAAAATTCACTTAAAATATTTTGTATTTATTATTTTCTGACATCACCTCCTAGTAATAACCCAACCTGATGGTAAACATGTGCCACATACCGTAGTTTATTTGTTATACTTTTGGTAAATTATGGAAAATTTGTTGCCTTCAGTATGGTGTACAATAGTGTGGGGGAAAGCAGAGTGGAAACAAGGAAACTTTTGAGAAGCAAGCAAGGAGCTCTAGAGTAGGCGTCCTCAATCATTAATGCGGCTAGCAGCATTTTAAGACAACCCTCTATAAACACAATGAGCTAGTACTATTGTAAATACGTTATATTAAATGGCAAAGTAATTCGAAAGATGTAGAGAAGGTTATTGATCAGTTGACCTTAAGACAAGGGGTGTCTCCAGGTTAACCTAATCTAATCACACAAGCCTTTTAAAAGCAGTGTTTCTTCCAGCTGGTGGCAGAAGACATTAGAGATATCGGAAGTTTCAGGGGGTATTTGGCATGAGGTTGGTTTATTGTGGAGATGGAGGGAGACAGGTGGAAGGACCTCAGAGTAGGTTTTAGGAACTAAAAGTGGTCCCCTGAATGAAAGCCAGCAAGAAGACTGGCACCTCACTCCTACAACCACATGGAACTAAATTCTGCCAACAACTTGAATGACCTTGGAAAGAAATTCTTCCCCAGACATTCCAAGTAAGAACATAATCCTGGCATGACATTGGTTTTAGCCTCATAAGATCCTAGACAGAAAACCCAGCTGGGCCCTCCTAGACTTCCGACCTACATACCTGTGCAATAATAAATGGGTGTTGCTTTAAGCAGCCAAGGTTGTGGTGATTTGTTATGCAGCAATAGAAAACTAATAGACTGGGGTGAGAAAATGTTGGTTTTCTTTAAAGAATGGAATGACACTTGATAACCGCGATTAAAAGGTTGACCCAAAGAGCTTGGACGATGTGGGGCCATCTAGGTGTCAGGCAATAAACAAGAGTGTTGTTAGGTCAATACTTATTAGGTATTTTGATTCGGTGTCCAAGGGATACCAAAATCCCTGTTTGCTTGTATGGCAGCCATAGGAATGTGCCTCTCAACCTTCAACCACAGAGAGTGTAGTTGAACTCCAGCTGCCGCTCTTTGAAATCCATCACTGCTTTGTACCAAGCTGTGTCTTTCAAGGGGCTGCTCCTTGCCAATCATTGAGTGCAACACGGTTCCTAAAGCACAGTCATTTTGGAACAACAAGAGACTTTTCTGATGGCTTTGGTTTCAGGAGTCCTTGACAGCTTTAGCGACGCTTCCCTAAATTCTATAGAAGACTAGCTGCTTCCGTCCAATCTCTCTTCCCTTCCTCCTTCACGGAAGTCAGACTTGCATCCTAGTTAGACTGCTTTCTCAGCCTTCCCTGGCTGCCTCCCCACCTGTTTCTTATATCTTCTCTCCTTCCCTCCCCACCCTCCCATTCCCTTCCTTCTTTTTTAGACATGGGATCTCACTGTCACCCAGGCTGAATTATAGTGACATCATCATAGCTCACCCCAGCCTTGAACTCCTCAGCTCAAACCAACCTACAACCTCAGCCTCCTGAGTAGCTATGACTACAGGTGCATTCCCCCACACCTAGCTAATTTTTAAGACTTTTGGCAGAAATGAAGTATTGCTATATGTTGCCCAGGCTGGTCTCAAACCCTGGGCTTAAACAACCCTACTTTGGCCTCCCTGAGAACTGGGATTACAGGTGTGAGCCACTGCACCCAGCCTTCACCATTTCTTCACACAGGCATTTTCTCCAACAAAATCCTTGCAAGATTAATCCTGCCTTAAATCTGCCTTTTGGAAAACCTGGATTATCTTTCCTCTTCCTTTTGATATGAACATAAGACAAATGCTGTGGCCAGGCGCGGTGTCTCAAGCCTGTAATCCCAGCACTTTGGGAGGCCGAGGCGGGTGGATCACGAGGTCAAGAGATCGAGACCATCCTGGTCAACATGGTGAAACCCCGTCTCTACTGAAAATACAAAAAATTAGCTGGGCATGGTGGCACATGCCTGTAATCCCAGTTACTCAGGAGGATGAGGCAGGAGAATTGCCTGAACCCAGGAGGCGGAGGTTGCAGTGAGCCGAGATTGCACCATTGCACTCCAGCCTGGGTAACAAGAGCGAAACTCCGTCTCAAAAAAAAAAGACAAATGCTGATGACAAAAATATGACTACCTGAAGCTCCAGGCCAGAGCTAACGTAGGTCTGTTGTAAATAGGCAGTACCTCATCAAGCCCCCTTTACCTCAGCTGCATTGTACCTATGTTGACCTGAATGTCCAAGAACCAGAGGATCCCGTTAATCCAAACTTGAGCTTCAGATTCTACCACTACAATAATGAGAAGATAGTTGAGTCAAAGCATCTCCACTAATGTCACTGCTTTTATTTTGGGGGTTGCCAGTACACTATAATACAAATATTTCTAAACGGTAAAGATTTTTAAAAGATGAGGTGTGAAATAAAATCTGCTCAACTCTTCGAAAGGGATGTGTTATTCTGAACTCTGTCATAGCCCACTTGGGCTATTATGACAAAAGTCCCTGAGTGGATGGCTTATAAATAGCAGAAATTTATTTACCACAGTTCTGGAGTCTGGGAAGTCCAAGATAAAAGTACCAGCAGATTTAGCATCTGGTGAGAGCCAGCTTCTTCATCTTCTCTGTAACTTCACATAGTGGAAAGGACAAAGGAACTATTTAGGGCCTCTTTTATAAGGGCATTAATTCCATTCACGGCCTAATTCATAGAAATCCACATTTTCTATGGGTGGAGTCATGAAGGACCTCCCAGTGGCCCTTCCTTCCAATACCAACATGTGAACATGAGAGAGCTTGCCTGTCTCTCTCCGTCTGTCTCTCTCTCCCTGTCTCTCTCTCTCTCTCTCTCTCTCTCTCTCTCTCTCTCTCTCTCCCATGAGAATACAAGAAGACAGCTGTCTACAAACCAGGATATGGGCCCTCACTAGTCACTGGGTCAATTGGTGCCTTGATCTTGGACTTACCAGCCTCTAGTACTATAAATTTTTGTCATTTAAGCCACCCAGTCTATGATATATTTGTTGTACCACTACCAATGACTAAGATGATCCTATAATTCTCAACTGAAAATTATTTGTCTTAAAACTGTTGGCATTGCTATAAAAAGTATTTTAATTTTAACTTTAAAACAATAAATGAGGTTGAAATGCAGTCATTATGAAATAAAGTTAAACTTTGTGTCAACCAACATCTATGAATTAAAATGGCATTTTTCTTTACAGTTGGGTGATTTTTGTATGCTACAGTGGCAAAGTTTGTAAATTATAAATCAGTAAGAAACCTATTTAAAATATGCTTTTGATGAGAGACCTGAATGTACCCCTGAGGCTCAAGCCAGAAGACACTTCACCTTCAAGAAATTCTTCTGCATATTATTCACCCAGACCCACTGAGGGGAAGGACATTATTTGAAGAACAAAAGATCACTATTGTTTTTTGTTAAACATGTTTTTTTAATATGTCCTTATCAAGGAATATTTTAAACAATATATGAAAAGCCCTATGATAACAATTGAAAAAAAATACTGTTCTGAGTATAGGTCAAAGAGATTGAGAGATCAGCAAATCAAATTTTATGTATATATAAATAGAAAACCCTGAGCAAATCATTAAACCCAATTTAACATGTATCGCTACAGTTGTTCACTCTCAAAAGGATCAACATGGAAGGCTCTGAAAGAGCGCTGGCTTTGTAACTCAGTTCAAATCCCAGCTCTGTCCTTTGCCCTTTGCTTTCTGTGGTTCAGTGTTGTTGCTGTGCCTCGCTTTGAAAAGTAAAGGAGACAGGAAATGTAAAAATGAATGTCATATATATGAAATGGATGGTAATGAGGGCATATATTTTAGGTAATGCCATTTTTTAAAATGCTTTTCAGCCAGCTCTTGGGTTAACTCTTAATTCATGGCAATGCAGTCATTTTGAGAGGGCAGAAAGATGGTTGGCAGTCAGGGAAAACCTGAGTAAGTGAAAACAATTGAAAATATCTTGAAACTTCAAGATTATCTGGACACTGCTTTTACACAAGCTTTAAAAAAAATCAGGCAAAAAACAAAAAACAAACAAACAAATCAGGAGTCCTTTGTGTGTCATTGGCTTTCACTCCTCTTTCCACTTTTTCATGGAAATGACACAAAGGGAAGTGCTGGGAAGGAAGGATATGTTCCCTCTATATGACACAGAATGGGGAAAGGGAAGTGTGGGGTAGAGGAGGGCATGGCCCCTGGCTAGGGCTCCACCCTTGGGCCTCTGCTCATGGACATACACGAGAGCAGGTATTTGTGTTTTTCTGCCCAAATGTTGCATTTCCTAAGACCACCCTGGCCTGACATGCCCTCATCCTGTGCCTATAAAAACTCCAAGACCCTAGAAGACAGACACACAAACAGCTGGATGTCAAGAAGACCACATCAGCGGAAAAAGACACAAACAGTTGGATACTGAGAGGACATTGAGGGGAGCACACCAGTGGAGGACCACACTGACAGATGTTGGCACACTGGCAGGCCATCAAAGGTGAAACAATGTAGAGTTTGGCCAGGTAGGTCAGAGAAGAGCCTTGGCCTCTGAGTCGCTCGACTTCAGGGGAAAACCATCTCCCTCCTGGCTTTCTCATCTGCAAGAGCTACTTCCACTCAATAAAACCTTGCACTCATTCTCCAAGCCCACGCGTGATCTGATTTTTTCAGTATACCAAGGCAAGAACCCCAGGATGCAGAAAGCCCTCTATCCTTGCACTAAGGCAGGGGGGTCTAATTGAATTGACTGACATAAACTGCCTACAGATGGCTAACCTAAAAGAGCACCCTGTAAACATGCCCACTAGGGTTTCAGCTGCAAACATTCACCCCTAGACACTGCTGTGGGGTCAGAGCCTCACAGTCTGTCCATCTGTGTGTTCCCCTAGAGGTTTGAGGAGTGGAGCACTGAAGAGGTAAGCTATACCCGCAGTGCACACCCAGCAAGGGGACAAGGGAACTTTTCCTACTTATACTGGGGGCTCGTTTGGGATCTCTGAAGGTGAGTGTGAGCAAATGTGAAACTGTCAGGCCTGCCTTTCTCCCAAAACCCTGCCACCTCTCTCTCTTTCCTGTAGGTAAAAGGCTCTGTTTTCCTTTCATCTCTTTTCTCTCTCTTACACGGTTTGAAATGGCTCTTATCTCTTTGATTATAAAGTTAAGAGTTTTGCTACAGGCTGTGGCAATGTTACAAGTAAAATGAGCGTTTGGCTGAGCAGCTAAAGGTGCAAATCAGACCGATTTTTCCTAGCGTTGACAACCACAGGCACGCAGGGCTGGAGCACCTCTCCTTAACCTTTCCCCTCCCAGCTCCAGCGTGTGAGTGTGCCCGCAGCAGAAAAGGCTCAGCTCAACAGCCATGGGAAGTGGGGTGGTACAGGAGAAAACCTGGGGTAGCTGGGACCCTACTGGGTGGTTCTTGCCCACCCTCCCAATGGAACCTTTCCTCCTTTGGCCAAGGAATTCAACCTGGTCTGACCTGAAGGAAGGATGGGAAAGTTACCAGGATTAGAGGGGCCCACTTGCACTAAGCAAGGAGTTTTTCCTTTAGCATCTCCCCCTTTTTGCCCCTTAAACTGTTTTTCTCTTTTTCCCTTTTCTAAGTGAGAGGGCTCGCTCTCCCAGCTCTGTTTCTCATAGGGAAATTAACAGAAGAGTGACTCTTGCTGGCTGAGAACTGCAGATTCAGCAGGGCACATGTGAGACATTCTAAACAGCCTCTAAAGCATCCTTTCTTGTTTCCAAGCTTCAGGCTGAGGCCCTAGAAAGAAAAACCTGGTCTCAGGGATCCAAAGCCAGACAATAGACAGGACCAGTTCCTGCTGACTAAACCCCCCACCCCATGGACGGAGGCCACGTTTCATGGCATAAACAGGTCCAGGGCCAACAGCATGGAGAAAGGGAGGCATAGGTGAGGGCAGTTAGTTCTGATTCTCCAGGTTTGCTCTGTTTCATGGTTACATATTGCATTTGCACCTATGGCTGACACCTGCCAAGGTCACTGGGGCTCAGGGACAAGAGATGGAAAATGAAGGGAGGACACTCACTTTCTCCATCTCACCATGAGTTTTTCACTGAAAGAAGAAAGGAAAATGAGGACACCTCTATTCCCTGTCTTTCTGAATGGACAACCAGTTCTCTTCACCACCCTCAGCTTATGCTCCTCTGGGGTGTATCCTGAACCATTGGGATTGCTTTGACCCCCAGACCCCCAGAATCTAGAGGAAAGGTTCCTCATAGCCCTCTAAACAAAGTTTGGCCAAATTGTAATTTATAGGAAGGACTGGGTTGGCCCCAGGAAGGAACGATTCATTTCAATACCATCCAGCAGTTGAAACATTTTCTGTAGATGTCAGAACAGATGGTCTGAGGCCCCATATGTGCAGGCTTTCTATACCTTGCAAGGCAATCCAGACCTTTGCTGACAGTGTAAGATTGATCCAGCCCTCCTGTTTGCCATCTCCGGGAAGGCTACAAGGGGTAATTCTAGGGAATTAAAGATATGAGTCCCAGAGACACTCCCAGCAGAAAAGCCAGCTGTCTCAAGCCCTGCTCCTCTGGGTCCACCCCAACCTCGGTATTCTATTCAGCCTCTCACTCTCCCCCTCTCAGAAATCCTCCCCCTAATCAAGCCCCCATCTCACTCTTACCCTTCCAACAGATGCCTAGTGAATTTGGGCCCAGTAACGTCCAGGTTCTCTTTTCCCTACAGAACTTAGGTAAATTAAGGGGGATCCTGGCAATTTTTCAGATTACTCTGATAGATAAATAAAGGCTTTCCAGAATTACCAAATAATTGAACTCTCCTGGAAAGACGTTATGTTGCTTTGGAATTAAACCCTGATGGACACTGAGGAACAGGCCACTTTGCAAGCAGCAGAGAGACATGGGGATGAGCTTTGTATCACACATAGCATCAGGGAAGGGGGTGAATATTATCCCAACCAGAAAAGAAGCAGTACCAGTGGATGATCCTAAACGAGCTTCCAATGATGAGATCGTACACTGGACGAAGAGACACTTTCAGGCGTGCATAATGGAAGGCTTATGTAGAACTAGGACCAGGCCTCTCGATTAAACTAAGCTGTCCATGATTGACCAGGGATTTGATGAAAATCTCACTGCCTTCCTGGAGAGGCTAAGAGAGGCCTTGGTAAAGAACACCTCCCTATCTCCTGACTCAGTCGAGGGACAACCACTCCTAAAGGGTAAACGTATTACCCCGGCAGCTCCTGACGTCAGGAGGAAGCTACTAAAGCAGGCTCTGGAACCAGGTAGTACGTTAGAGAACCTCCTGAAAGTAGCCATCTCGGTCTTTTATAATAGAGACAGGGAGGCCCAGGAATGAGAGAGGAAATACACGAAAGAGACAGAAGCTTTAATGGCCACCAGACAAGCCCACAAACCCTAGAATTCTCAGGGTGTACCTCTTAACTGCTAAAGATATGGTAAGAACAGTTATTTCATTCTAAAAGTTCATCCACTTACAAGGTTTAATTTCTTTCACCTGGGTGAAACAGCTCAGGGTACAATGTTGTTGTTAGCATGATTTACTGCTTGTCTCTGTAATCTTTGGCACTAAGTTCTTTTTTTGTATAATACACATATTTAACCCATGCATACTTATCCTCATAAAACTTGATTTTTTTTCTCTCACGCCTAGAAGCCATCAAACTTCAACCAGTCAGCCAACCAGAGCCTCAGATGATGGCTCCCTTTTATTAGAAACCCTTGGATAGACCTGTGAGAGGAGTCTGACTGCCAGTTCTCCCAGAACAACGCCCCCTGTCACCAGGAAACAACTAAGACAGGTCATCATCCGTATTCTAATGACAGATGTACCTCTTCAGAGGGGGGACAGGATACTGAAGGGAAGTGCTGGGAAGGAAAGGCCATGGTTCCTTTAGATGACACGGAAGTGGGGAAGGGAGGTGCTGGGTAGAGGAGGGCAAGGTCCCTGGCTAGGGCTCCAGCCCCAGGCCCATGCCTGCGGACCTAGGTGAAGACAGGCATTTTTGTTTTCCTGCCGAATGTTTCATTTCCCAAGACCGCCCTGGCATGCCACGCCCTCACCCTTTGCCCATTAAAGACTCAAGACCTAGCTTACACAGTATGGCCGCTCGCTCTACTCTCTCTAACGGGGAAGCAGCAGAATACAAGAGACTGAACTGTATCTGCCTCTGTTTCCAAAACACGTTCAACTTTCACTCACACGAAGCCGGGAAAATTTTATTAATCCTTTTTTTATAAAAAGTTAATATAAAATGATAGCAAAAAAAAAAAAAAAAAAAAAAAACAGCTGGAACAATCCGAAGTGGCGGCGGCAGCGTTGGAGAAGAGGTTTAATTTAGTTGATTTTCTGTGGTTGTTGATTGTTCGCTAGTCTCACGGTGATGGAAGCTGCACATTTTTTCGAAGGGATCGAGAAGCTGCTGGAAGTTTGGTTCTCCCGGCAGCAGCCCGACGCAAACCAAGGATCTGGGGATCTTCGCACTATCCCAAGATCTGAGTGGGACATACTTTTGAAGTATGTGCAATGTTCAATCATAAGTGTGACAAAAACTGACAAGCAGAAAGCTTATGTACTCAGTGAGCATAGCACGTTTGTCTCTAAGAGACGTTTCATTTTGAAGACATGTGGTACCACCCTCTTGCTGAAAGCACTGGTTCCCCTGTTGAAGCTTGCTAGGGATTACAGTGGCTTTGACTCAGTTCAAAGCTTCTTTTATCCTCGTAAGAATTTCATGAAGCCTTCTTACCAAGGGTACCCACACCAGAATTTTCAGGAAGAAATAGAGTTTCTTAATGCAATTTTCCCAAATGGAGCTGCATATTGTATGGGACATATGAATTCTGACTGTTGGTACTTATATACTCTGGATTTCCCAGAGAGTCGGGTAATCAGTCAGCCAGATCAAACTTTGGAAATTCTGATGAGTGAGTTTGACCCAGCAGTTATGGACCAGTTCTGCATGAAAGATGGTGTTACTGCAAAGGATGTCACTCCTGAGAGGGGAATTCATGACCTGATACCAGGTCTGTCATTGATGCCACAACGTTCAATCCTTGTGGATATTCAATGAATGGAATAAAATCGGATGGGACTTACTGGACTATTCACATCACTCCAGAACCAGAATTTTCTTATGTTCGCTTTGAAACAAACTTAGGTCAGACCTCTTATGATGACCGGATCAGGAAAGTTGTAGAAGTCTTCAAACCAGGAAAATGTGTGACCACCTTGTTTGTTAATCAGAGTTCTAAATGTCGCACAGTGCTTTCTTTGCCCCAGAAGACTGAAGGTTTTAAGTGTCTTGATTGCCACAGTGCTATGTTCAATGATTACAATTTTGTTTTTACCAGTTTTGCTAAGAAGCAGCAACAACAGCAGAGTTGATTAAGAAAAATGAAGAAAAAAATGCAAAAAGAGAACACACGTAGAAGGTGGTGGATGCTTTCTAGATGTCCATGCTGGGGACAGTGCTTTCTGTAACCACCACTGTGTAGTTGCAGAAAGCCTTAGATGTAATGATGGTGTAATCATTTTGAATTGTATGCATTATTACATCAAGGAGTTAGATATCTTGCATGAATGCTCTCTTCTGTGTTTAGGTATTCTCTGCCACTCTTGCTGTGAAATTGAAGTGCATGCAGAAAAAACCTTTTACTATATAAAACTTTATAACACTTTTGAAAGCAACTCAATTTGGTTTATGCACAGTGTAATATTTCTCCAAGTATCATCCAAAATTCCCCACAGACAAGGCTTTCGTCCTCATTAGGTGTTGGCCTCAGCCTAACCATCTGGGACTGTTCTATTGCTGCCAGAATTTTACATCCAGTTACCTCCACTTTCTAGAACATATTCTTTACTAGTATTATTGAAACTAATTTCTACTTCATACAGATGTTTTTTGAAACCGCAATTAAAGTTCTTCTTCCATGAGTCAAGTCCTTAAAAAAATGATTCCAGTTACTCATTTTGCATATTTACTATTTTAACATTATTGGATCCTGCATTGATGGTGCTTTGATTTCTTCCCTCTCCCTGGTGTCTCCCCCAAGACCCCAAATAAAGCAATACACTGTCAACACTGTGGATTTATATACTAATTCCGTACCTCAGATGAGGAAAGGGGGAGATGGTTCCTGGGCTTAACATTCTTTAAAGGGCATGGGAATTTAGCCTTATTTTTATTGTAATGTGCTCTTTTGGAAAGTAGTTGATTAGCAGGGATGACTCAGAGTCGTAGATTGAGATTAGAGTGTACCGGCTGAACTGTGGAAAACATAAACAATTCTGTGTTCCTCAGTAAACGAGATTAGCATCTAATGAGTAGCATGCCTTTACTAACTTACTAAGTAGTGGTATAAAAGGATTTTTATTTAGTTAATTACCAGAGAGATTTAACGTAATTTTGTTCTGGATTCAGTAAATCAAGTCAGCTTGGATCATTCACCTTAACTTTTCCTTTAGCAACCGTTTCCATTAGTTTCCATTAAATAGTGTTCTATAAACTTTGATCCAAAGCAGAATCAATGTCTTTTCACCCTGTGACTTAAAGTTCTGTGACTGTGATGCATGTGAGTGTTCTGACTTCATCTGTTCCTCTAACTACGGTGTTTCCCTCACCATGGCATTCATAGGGTGAAATGTGAATGACTGTCCAGAATGTGAATTGTCCAGATTCAGATAAACATCATGAAGCAGAATACATGAGTAAATAAGTAAAACATAACAAAATTATAAAATACTCAAGGGAAAATGTCTAGAAATACACACTTTCAAGAGTTGGTATCTTTTAGGTATATTTGCAGATACTTTGGGATTTTAAGGAACTGAGAAAACAGCAAAGTTAACTGAATTTTATATTTATTGTCCTCTAAATATTTTGATAATTTCTGGATTGATGGAGTGATGTTTTTGTTCCTTCTGTATTTATAAATGAAACACCTTTTTTTTTTAGTGTTTCTAAACCTAAAATCTATTTGGTTTGAAATCAAGTGGTTGGAACACTGTTTGACTTTTTATATGAAACATGTTATTGATTGAAAGTTTCATTGAGGAAGTTTTCAATCAGTGTGATCAATTTGATTCTGTAATGAGCACAGCATCTAATATTTTGAGGTGCTCTGTTTTGAGGACCAATGCTCAAGGACTTTGTTGATACATGATATCACAATAGATTTGTTGACTTGAGGTCTGGAGGGTTTTTTCCTTTTTTTTTCTAATAGAATTAAGAATCCTAATGTTGAAAAACTGCACAAAGTTGTGTGGGACAAAGCCTAGAAAGCAGAAATGTAGACTGAATCATCATCTAAAGCATGATGGGATAGAGGAGGGAAAGTTTGGTGCCATCATTTCTCCTTTCGCTGGTGTTGGACTTTAAATCAATTGAAATGTATTTCTGTACCACAGTTTGCTCTTCAATAAAAGTTTAATTGTCTAGTGACATTCAAAAAAAACCTCAAGACCTTAGCAGGCAGGGACACAAGCTGCTGGATGTCGAGAGGAACACATCAGCGGAAGAAGATGCAAGCAACTGGCCGTCAAGAGGGTGTCAAGCAGAGCACACTGGTGGAAGAGTAAACGACCCTGGCACACCAGCATACACCAAGGCGAGAACCTTGGGATACAGAAAGTCCTCTGTCCTTGCAATAAGGCACGGGGGTCTAATTGAGCTGTCTAATACAAGCCACCTATGGATGGCTAAACTAAAGGAGAACACTGTAATCCATGCTCACTAGAGCTTCAGCTGCAAACCCCTAGACCCTGCTGTGGAGTTAGATGCCCGCAGCCTGGCCGTCCCTATGCTCTCCTTGAGGTCTGAGCAGCTGGGCACTGAAGAGGTGAGCCACACCCCCAGTGCACACACTACGAGGGGGACTAGGGAACTCTTCCCGTTTCAAAAACATGAAAGCACAATCAATCCATCCAACGAAAACAACCACTAAAAGACAGGATTGGTGTGAAGGAGAAAAATACAGCATGTATAATGCTCAAACTGATTATTCACCCTGGAAACTTGAGAGTTAACAATGTTTATATGATCCAGAAGTGCCAAAAAGCTAAAGAGATTACCTAATATAAAGCCAGATCTATACATTTTAAGAATTATTATGGGGAGCCAGGAGTGATAATTCAGCTAAATAATTTTCTTCAAATGTTAGGCATAGGCAGAATTGCCTAATGGTAAAATAACAAAAATCATTTTATAAGTGTTTCAATTTCATGTTTATCTGCCAACCAGTATGCTCATTAGAAATGACAAGTTGTATACATTGCATTATAGGGGAAGCTATAAAGAAGTTGAAACTTTTTTCCTCTACTTCATTCTTAAACATGAGAAGACAACTGTTTTGAGCTGAACATGTTTCTTTTCTAACATAGTTATTATAAAGAGTTCTTTGTCTCCTCTTTTCAGGTATTTCTGAATTATTTTATTTACTGTTTTAGCAATTCCAGGAACTATGCACCTGTGGTTTATGACACTGATGGTTCTTTATAGGGCTGCACAATTTTCAGGGAGGTTGTAAAGCTTTTTGATTTTTCAGAGAAATCTCTGCTGTTGCGGTAACGGTGGATATCTGCTCTGCTGTATTTGATATGCCTAAAAGAACCTGCTTATTGCAGTATAACATCAAGTACTCAAAAAGACATGTAGAAACAGGAAGGAAAAAGTCTGAGCTAACAGAGTTTATGTGAAAATGATGCTCAGGGAAAGATAATGGGATGGGTCTCCCACCTAGAGGCTGTGTCTGATCCACGCTGATCCTTTACAACCATCAGTCTAAATTCAGAAGACGGACTCTCTGTGTAAGGGCTGTTTTTCTCCTTCTAACAACTGTGAGATCCTTGATGTTTTTTTGTTGATCTCAAACAAGGATTCAGAATTTTTATTAAGCCAGGCGTGGTGGCTCATGCCTGTAATCCCGGCACTTTAGGAGGCTGAGGCGGGTGGATCATCTGAGGTTGGGAGTTTGAGACCAGCCTGACCAACATAGAGAAACCCCATCTCTACTAAAAATACAAAAATAGCTGGGTGTGGTGGCACATGCCTGTAATCCCAGCTACTCAGGAGGTTGAGGCAAGAGAATCACTTGAACCTGGGAGGCATAGGTTGTGGTGAGCCGAGATTGTGCCATCAAACTCCAGCCTGGGCAAAAAGAGTGAAACTCTGCTCAAAATATATATATATATTGTTATTAAAATGGGGTTTAGCAAGCCATTGGAATCTTTAATACATGATGAAAATTATATGCTGTTACGAGATTCGTGTGATCTTGGTAGCATAGAGATGGTTCTAGGTGATTTGTTATTTGGTTATGTATAGATTTAAAAGTATATTTGAGGTTAGTCTGAAGCTAGGACTTAATTTCTAAAGAAATACTGATCAATCTTTCTCCCACAGTTTATTTTAGATATGCCCAAGCTATCATGTCGACTAATACTGCTATCGTTCCATCTCAATTTGCCAACTTGCTAGGGGCTTAGCTGTACATGCCCTGATTTATCTGCATCCTTCTACTCTAGTTTGTCTCTCTGGGCTTCCAAAAACTCACAAAAGCCAATTTGAATTGATGGCACTGCCAGGGAACCAATGGACTGTGATTTATAAAAAGGTGATTGATCATTTTTTCATGTCTTTGATATGTGCAGACCCTGCTGAGAAGAGAGCTTGTGACACATTTCTTGAGGCAGCAAGTTTTCTCTACATTATGGTTTCAAGGGCTTGACATAACACGGCTTGGAAATATCTAGCTAATGTTTAATCTAAATAAATCCTAATATGGCATTAACTGTCTAACAAAGAAGGCATATTTACACTGGGCAACACTGAAGAGCATATTTAGAATAACTCAGAACCTCTTATGTGGAGGAGGCAGCTAACTCAATATTATAATTAGAAGAGGAGCCCAAGTCCCACCTTATTGCGAAATATCTTTCGTAATGTAACATGTACATTTTCTGTGTTATTCATTTTGCCTGCTTTACTGTACTTGTGTGTGTGTTTATGTTTTACAATCCAGCACCTTCAGCATTACATTATGGCATTACGTTAGTCTCCAGCCAAAATACAAACACTATTTCAAAAAGGTGACATGTTATGCTTTGCCTGTCACAATCATTCCAGCTATCACATTTAGAGTGAGGAGATTTAAAGTGGTTATATATCTTAAAAACTAGATGAAAGAAATAATTTGAAGCAATAGTGAAATTTGAAGTTGCCTCATTGGCATCTCTTTATGGTCCTAGATGACTTAAATTCAACTTAACTGAAGGTAAAATCATTTACTCCCTCACTGCACCTGATTATTTAGACCCCTCTGCCTTCTCAGTCACTTAGGATAGAAACCTCAGAGTTATCCCTAACTCCTCCTTCTTGGCTCTTCCCTTGACATTTGTTGATCGATTCTGACATCCCTTTTCTTTTCCTTCCTTCCTTCCTTTCCTTTCCTATTCCTTCTTCCTTCTTTTCTTTCCTCTCCTTCCTTCCTTCTTCCTTCCTTTCCTCCCTCCCTTCCTTTTTTCTTTCTTTCCTTTCTTCTCTCTTTCTTTCTTTCTCCTTCCCTCCCTCCCTCCCTCCCTCCCTCCCTCCTTCCTTCCTTCCTTCCTTCTTCCTTTCTTGGAGTCTCACTCTGTTGCTCTGTTGCCAGGCTGGAGTGCAGTGGTGCAATCTCAGCTCACTGCAACCTCCAACTCCCTGGTTCAAGCTTTTCTCCTGCCTCAGCCTCCTGAGTAGCTGGAATCATATATTTTAATAGAGATGGGCTTTCACCATGTTGGCCAGCATGGTCTCAATCTCTTGATCTTGTGATCTGTCCACCTTGGCCTCCCAAAGTGCCTTTTCTAACCATGTGCCTTGGTACAGGGCCTATGATTGACGATGTAGACATTGCATGAGCGTGTTCATGAAGCTACTTGCAATTACCTCAATTAATTTGTTTGGCCGCTGCATTCTTTACTAATTGTAAACTAATTTATGGTAGAAGCCATTATTTAGTCATACTTTTACATTGATTCATTGATTCTAACAGAGCTCATTGCCTAGCATTTGTATGTGTTATGTATACGTCATGGATGTGTA